ATATATACATTTACATACAACAATCATTAACCCTTGTTCATTCCCTTCTCAGCTCTAAATGCTTAAATAATTAGAGACTTGAGGGTTCCTTAATCCTTAATCCTCAAGGGTCCTGTTATATACAAAATGTTATTCATAACCTTATTTTGGGGACTAACATTTAGTCTCTGAAATCTTATATCACACAATATCCTTCTTGACTCTAAAAATAATTTTTTTTTCCCTATGCTGATTTCAGTGTGGAATAGAGCTAGCTTGAGCTGGCTAGACTTGCTTTTGTATGCATTTCTAGTTTTTATTTTCATAAAATAAATATATTCCACGGTCATGGTGCAGGACTAGGTAGTCTACAGCAACAGAGATAGAGAGGGTGGGCCTGGGGGGTATGGACACTTTGTCTCTGAAAATATATAATTTTTATAGAAACAACTAACTCCATATTAATTGAAAAGGAGCCCTAGTTCGACGAGAGATACAGAACCTAAGGAAAGTCTTGACTTTTGCATTACAGAAAGGGCTAGGCAGAAGGCAGAAGGCAGAAGGGAGAAGGCAGAAGGCAGAATAATATGGTTCAGGGACTGTGAGACAATGAAGGACTATTCTTTGATTCTTTACTGATCCCCACAGTGAGTGGGCACTAGGCAGAGAGGGTGGGGTTGATGTGAGGGTTTGATTCTTGATTCATTCCCAGGGGGAGGGGGCAGGGTGGGGGGCTGGCTGTGAGGGTGGGGCATGTGTTCACTGATTACTTATTCCACACCAGGGACACTGAGCTGGGAGGGGGGCTGGCTGTGAGGGTGGGGCATGTGTTCACTGATTACTTATTCCACACCAGGGACACTGGGCAGGGAGGGGGGCTGGCTGTGAGGGTGGGGCATGTGTTCACTGATTACTTATTCCACACCAGGGACACTGAGCTGGGAGGGTGGGGTTGATGTGAGGGTTTGATTCCTGATTCATTCCCAGGGGGAGGGGGCAGGGAAGGGGGCTGGTTGTGAGGGTGGGGGATCCAGGGTCTATTCTTTATCTATTTATTTCTCCCCAGGGACACTGGGCAGGGAGGGTGGGGTTGTTGTGAGGGTTTGATTCTTGATTCATTCCCAGGGACACTGGGCAGAGAGGGGTCTGGCTGTGAGGGTGGGGGATCCAGAGTCTATTCTTTATTTATTTATTTCTCCCCAGGGGGAGTGGGCCGGTCCTGGAGGTACTGCAATACCAGGTCAACCCGTGGCAAAGGCGGAGCAAGCCCCTGACTCTTCGCCGAGTACCAAAAATCAGTTTAATATCGATGTCCCCCAATGGGGGACGTATCAGATATTAAGCTGATAAGAACAGATACTACACTTTGATCTTAGCCAAAAGGCCGAGAAGCGATACTGAAGTCAGGCTTCATTTTCATTTTATACTGGGCTATGTACCTCGATCCCTTGGTGTTCTGCTAGCTCTCAATCAGATGATTTATTCACATGGAGGGATGTACATTTCAGAATTACACAAACATGGACTTAAGGATAAGATCTTCAATGTGGTTTGTTGTGAGAAGTATAAAACTTCCAGCAAGTGGAGTATTTTCTAATAAAATCAAGTCTGTCATGATATCTCATTCACAAAGAACGTAGGGCCCACGTCAGTATAACTGGTTGTACGCAAGACCGGATATACTGGGCTATAAATAGACGTACACAACTGGGGCAGTACAATGGAGTTGGGGGGAGGGGAGAGGTGGTGTGTGGGGGAGGGGAGAGGTGGTGTGTCTGGGAGAGATCAGAGGCTACACAAACACAAGTGGGGAGACTGTATGATCTGGGAGGGGGGTGGGGGGTGAAAGAGGGGGTGTAGGGGACCTCAGCAATTACATGAGTCCGCCAACTCATGTAACCCACACTTACTCATGTTATCTAGGTCACCAGCTTGTGGCAGTCCAGCAGATATAACAGTGCAGGACCAGACACTAGACTAACACTTAGTCAATGAAAACATGTCTTTAAAATAATTATATGTTGTATTCTTTGAAAGAACCATTTCTTTTCTGCTGTTTTCAGATCAAGCAAACTAGACTTGGTTAGTTTCATTTAGACTTGCGAAGGCTTTAAGTAAAAAAGAAATATCTAAAAAATATAAATTCCACAGTCAAGGCGCAGGTATAAACCAGTCACCTGAGCATATATATACTTACATACAATAATCACTAATTTTATGTTCATTGTCTTCGCAGCTCTAACTGCTTCAATATTTAGAGACTTGAGGGTTCCTTTGTGCATAATACTCAAGGGTTCTGTTGTATATAAAATGTTATGCATAGCTTGATTTTTGGGACTATATGTTAGTCTACAGCATCCGAGATAGGGGCGGTATAGTCACTAAAGGGGGGGGGGGGGGGGCACACTGGTGTAGGGTCAGGGGGTAGTCACTATGAGGGGAGAGGGGCACTACAAGATGCCTCGTGTTTTGTTTGTTTATTTGTTGTTTAGCGCCACACTTAGCAGCAGCAATACATGCTTTTGGGATACGATGACATGTATCAACCAAGTCAGTGAGCCTGACCGCCGGACCCAACCACTAACGACAAGCCTAGTCGTCTTTTTCGGCAGGCATGGGTTGCTGAAGACCTGAGGGAAGTGGGTGGAGCTCTGTGAACTGTAGTATTCATATTTAGCTGCTAAACTGACTGATCCAAAAAACTTCTTGACAAATAAAGTAGAAAATACTGAGCTACTCAAATTAACTTTTAAAATGACCAGTTATAAATAAGAACAAGCCCAATCACATTAAGGTAGTATAACTAACATCGTTTGTTTAGATCTGACCCAACAGCTGGTAACAATGGCAACTGTATCATCTCAGCTGGTTGGACATTAGAGTTTCGAAGTATATACAGTTATGTGATACCAGATCATACAACCACATGAGGAGAACACATATACAACCACACGATTAGACGAACATCTAGTCTCTGAAATGAATATATTGTACAGAAAAAAAACAGTTGTTAAATTATCTTGATAAAAATTGGGATACGATGACATGCTTTAACCAAGTCAGCGAGCCTGACCACCCGATCTCGTTAGTCGCCTCTTACGACACGCATAATCGCCATTAACAGCAAGCATGGGTTGTTGTAGACCTTTTCTACCCCGGATCTTCAAGGGTCAGATACTGAATAAACATGTCTAATGTGAAATATAATGAAATAGAGACATCACTCCCAAACAAATCGTTGGTAATAGAATAGTATAGTGTAAATCGTGAAAATATTAATGCAAAAGTCGACCCCTAGGCTAAAATGCACTTTGGAATTAAGGCTTAAAAAAATAATAGAATAGGATAGGCAATGGCTTTTGAAAATATAGTGTGGATGGGAAGTGTTGGTTTTTTTTGAGGGGGGTAAACAGATGTGTAACCAAATAAACAGTTGTGTACAATCAACCTAGGAAAGGGCCTCCCTACATAAATGTAGTTCTTCAGGAGTAAAATACTGGAATACAGTACTTGACTTCCGCTGGACTTGAACATTTAAGGATTATTTTGTTTTAAAATGGAAATAAAAATGAAACATGCGGCGAACTTAAACTTGATGCAGGCGGGTGCCTTAGAACCAAGACTATTATTTTTTTTAGCCTAATACGAGTAGCGTTGCCTTTGAACAATGAAAAAAACTCAAATGATGACAACCAAGACTTAGAACTCCATGCGTTATGCGTTCACCACGACAGCTGTTGTTGTACTGGACATGTCCACGATGTGGGTGAGCAGTGTCTTGCTTGTAATTATATATCAGATTACTGGACAAGGTTTCCAAGAACACAGCTGGATCAACTTGTGTGAACAGACTGACCACATTTGACCTGGAACTTGGTGAGAAGCACTGTCTAAATCCAGTGCTCAGTTGCATTGTTTAATGGGAGATTTGTTTTTTGTTTCCGCCCTGCGCAGCAAACCTGAGATGACAATAAGCGCCAATATGTTCCAAAAAAATGCATCACTATATTTATGTGAGCAGGGATATTACACTAAATAATAAAAAAAAATCAGGCACTTGTACTCTTTCTCTAACTTTCCTAATTCTTGTCCAGTAAATTGATGAAAAAGCTCCAATCCAAGTCAAAAGATTATTATTCCACTATATAAGACAGCTACGCGACAAGCGCAAAGAACAATTGTTCTATCATGACGTCATTTCTGGATATTCGAACATGTGCTCGCAACTTGATGACATTGTATATTGGAAAACATTATTTTTGAGAGGGATGTGTCTATTGAGTTGTTCGCAGTAGATGTTGAACAATTGCATCCAGAAGTGGAAGTGATATGACAATCAGTATTAGGAGAAAAGGTACAGATAACCGATGTGAGGATATGCGGGAAATACCAAACTTAATCCACCTGTTTGTAAAATGGACTTGTCCGACATTTCCAAGGTTGGATTCTTGTCAGGGAGTCATCATTATTATAATTAAGGTAACTATTTTTAAAGCTTGCACATTTTATCAACATCCTTAAAGTGGCTGTACATAATGTTGATATCTCATATAAGAAATAAACAACTCGTGGCTTTTGTTTATCATACAACAAAACACTGCAGGAAGAATCAACCATTTGGGGCTGCACCCCTCATGGTTAAATCTCCCTGCAGTGTTTTATTGTGCGATAAACAACACCCACTCATCATTTATTTCTTAAATAGTACCAGGAGTCCATAGCTGATTGGTTGGTTTGATGTTTACCGCCGCACTCAGCAATATTCCAGCTATATGACGGCGGTCTGTAAATAATCGAGTCTGGACCAGACAATCCAGTGATTAATATCATGAGCATCGATCCACGCAATTGGGATTCGATGACATGTATCAACCAAGTCAGCGAGCCTGACCACCCGATCCCGTTAGTCGCTTTTTACGACAAGCATAGTCACCTTTTACGGCAAGCATGGGTTGCTGAAGACCTATTCTACCAGGAGTCCGTGGAATATTTCAATGAGATGAACAGAAAGAGGCACTCACGTGGAGGTCGCAGCCCAATCGTTGGATGGTCCACACGGAGACGGCCCCCATCCAGGAGGCCGTCTTCACTGAAACTGGAAACTGTCAAAGCCTTCAGCTCACTGAGTGTCTGGAAACAGGGCACAAGAAGTTGGTTCATTACAAATGCTGTTCTTCATTTTACCTTCAAAATCAGTTCTGGGCGAGTGCTGTTGTTTGTCAGAGTGACATATAGTTCAGAAGTATTGTGAGATATGTACACCTCTGTTTGAAAGGCAGCACTACCTTAGTCACAGGGTGACATCTGGTTTTGTGAGTGACTGAGTGAGTGCTTTAAACAGTATTCGATCAGTTATATCACGGCGTGTCAGCTTAATGTGGGAGGAAAGCCCGAAGTGATGCAGGTCTCAGACATTTACCACTTCAGTGAAACCCACGAGCACGGGTATGGTGCTGACAAACCTAGAAACATGATGTACAGGGTGTACAGGGATTCAAACCCACAATCATAGGTTTCTGGCGTGCCCAAGGGACGCAACTCTGCACAGTGAATTGCGGCACCCTAGACGACTTGGCCACCCATGCCCTGTCTGGTTTTGTGAGATTGAAAATATAGAAACATTTTGATTAAAAACTTTAAGGACTTTCCTTAGGATCTCATTTTAGAGAATTAACTACAAATCAACAAAGGATTTGAAAACAACAACAACAACAACAATAGTTCACTTGCAAAGTGCATAACCCCATATACATGAAGGCTTCAAGCGCTGCATTATTATTACCCCTGTCAATGGATCAACAGTGTGCACTAAATGTTTCATTCTCAACTCCCTGGGGAGTATACAACCCAAGCTGCCTGTGAGGCACAAGAAGGTTAACAACCACATTGCCTTCTCATCCTACCGCGTACCAATTCACTGCTGGGTGGGCACATTTTGAACAAAGTCACTTGCCCAAGGAGACGCCACACGTGTCACATGTGCTTCAGTGTGGGGCAGGATCGAAGCCGCAGAAACTGTCAGGAGCCAAGCTGCCGACAAGAGTCATCCATCCAAGGATTCTCCGTGGCCATTGTCGCTTAACTTCACCTGATTTGTGACAGGGCTGTACACAGGACTATGTACCATACTGACCAAAAACATTTGTCAAACAAGACATGAAACTGATGTGGCCTCATTTATTAATATAAGCAACCTCAAGATGGAGGTGTTTGTTTTTTGTTTAACGCCACACTCAGCAATATTCAAGGTATATGACGCCGGTCTGTAAATAATCGAGTCTGGACCAGACAATCCAGTGATTGACATCATGAGCATCACTACGCAACTGGGATACGATGACATGCATCAACCAAGTCAGCGAGCCTGACCACCTGATCCCGTTAGTCGCCTCTTATGACAAGCATAGTCGCCTTTTACGGCAAGCATGGGTTGCTGGAGACCTATTCTACCCCGGATCTTCACGGGTGGACATACAGGCATGTACATGAGATCTCTACCTTCAAACAAAACCAACCATCACTTACCATGTCCTTTGTGACTTCTATTTGTCTTGTCCAACGACACTGAGTCTGCAGAAAAGATAAATACATTGTCTCACAATTGCTACACTTTCTTTAAAAATATTTTTTAGAAAAAATAAAATATATTTATTCCTCTGTAATCCATACATTATTGTCGGAAATATATATAGTTGATTTTTCATAGCGAACAAAAGCAATGTCTTGTGCATCGACACTGAGTCTACAGAAAAGATAAACATATTGTCTCACAAACAGGCTACCCCGGTATATTTAGTGTTTTGCATGTCACACAAATTCATTGGAAATTCACATATAATATTTCACAAAAGCAATAAAAACTAGTGACACACAGTGAAACTTCAAGAGTATCCATGGAAACAGATCAAGATATTACCCAGAAACGGTTTAAGGGAAGTGTATTTCTTGGTTTGTGTGCTTCTGAGACTGCTTTGTTCTCGTAGTAAGAAGTTGGCAGAGATCATTATCTACCCATTTCATGAATTATTAATAAAAAGTTAAAGTTGGTATGAATTTTGTCGTGTCTTTTAAATTTTCTATTTCATCAAAGAAAGACTGGTTAGGCATAATGAAAACAGTGGAAGCCCACTGGGATATCATGCCGTAGTTTAACAATCAGACACAGCGTACGGACCCCGAGCCAACTAGTCCTTGTTTTGTCCCCAAAAATGCTGAGCACAAGACGGCCAGGGATCCAACCCACAACATTCCACTCTCCTGGCAGACACTCTATCCACTAGACCATGGAAGCAGTCACAAAGTCTGTTATTCCTCCTATGACATTATTTATTGTAGAAATTATGAAGTACTTACAAAATATATTTTGGTACCTGATCCCTGAATCGGTTGAGTCTTACCTCTTGTCTCATATTTTCAGTTTTATAATGGATTGTACAACTGTGTTGCAAGGTTTGACTGTACAACTGTGTTGCAAGGTTTGACTGTAGAATTGTGTTGCAAGGTTTGACTGTACAACTGTGTTGCAAGGTTTGACTGTACAACTGTGCTGCAAGGTTTGACTGTACAACTGTGTTGCAAGGTTTGATTGTACAACTGTATTGCAAGGTTTGATTGTACAACTGTATTGCCAGGTTTGATTGTACAACTGTATTGCAAGGTTTGACTGTACAACTGTGTTGCATGGTTTGATTGTACAACTGTGTTGCAAGGTTTGAATGTACAACTGTATTGCTAGGTTTGACTGTACAACTGTGTTGCAAGGTTTGATTGTAGAACTGTGTTGCAAGGTTTGAATGTACAACTGTGTTGCAAGGTTTGAATGTACAACTGTGTTGCAAGGTTTGATTGTAGAACTGTATTGCTAGGTTTGATTGTAGAACTGTATTGCTAGGTTTGACTGTACAACTGTATTGCAAGGTTTGATTGTAGAACTGTGTTGCAAGGTTTGATTGTACAACTGTGTTGTAAGGTTTGATTGTAGAACTGTGTTGCAAGGTTTGATTGTACAACTGTGTTGTAAGGTTTGATTGTACAACTGTATTGCAATGTTTGATTGTACAACTGTATTGCAAGGTTTGATTGTACAACTGTGTTGCAAGGTTTGATTGTACAACTGTATTGCAAGGTTTGATTGTACAACTGTATTGCAAGATTTGATTGTACAACTGTGTTGCAAGGTTTGATTGTAGAACTGTATAGCTAGGTTTGATTGTAGAACTGTATTGCTAGGTTTAATTGTGCAACTGTATTGCTAGGTTTGATTGTACAACTGTGTTGCAAGGTTTGAATGTACAACTGTGTTGCATGGTTTGATTGTAGAACTGTATTGCTAGGTTTGATTGTAGAACTGTATTGCTAGGTTTGACTGTACAACTGTATTGCAAGGTTTGATTGTAGAACTGTGTTGCAAGGTTTGAATGTACAACTGTGTTGTAAGGTTTGATTGTACAACTGTATTGCAAGGTTTGATTGTACAACTGTATTGCAAGGTTTGATTGTACAACTGTGTTGCAAGGTTTGATTGTACAACTGTATTGCAAGGTTTGATTGTACAACTGTATTGTAAGGTTTGATTGTAGAACTGTGTTGCAAGGTTTGATTGTACAACTGTATTGCAAGGTTTGATTGTAGAACTGTGTTGCAAGGTTTGATTGTACAACTGTATTGCAAGGTTTGATTGTACAACTGTATTGCAAGGTTTGATTGTACAACTGTATTGCAAGGTTTGATTGTACAACTGTATTGCAAGATTTGATTGTACAACTGTGTTGCAAGGTTTGATTGTAGAACTGTATAGCTAGGTTTGATTGTAGAACTGTATTGCTAGGTTTGATTGTGCAACTGTATTGCTAGGTTTGATTGTACAACTGTGTTGCAAGGTTTGATTGTACAACTGTGTTGCAAGGTTTGATTGTACAACTGTATTGCAAGGTTTGATTGTACAACTGTATTGCAAGGTTTGATTGTACAACTGTATTGCAAGGTTTGATTGTAGAACTGTGTTGCAAGGTTTGATTGTACAACTGTGTTGCAAGGTTTGATTGTACAACTGTGCTGCAAGGTTTGACTGTACAACTGTGTTGCTATGTTTGATTGTACACCTGTATTGCTAGGTTTGACTGTACACCTGTATTGCTAGGTTTGACTGTACAACTGTGTTGCTATGTTTGATTGTACAACTGTATTGCTATGTTTGATTGTACACCTGTATTGCTAGGTTTGACTGTACAACTGTATTGCTAGGTTTGACTGTACAACTGTATTGCTAGGTTTGACTGTACAACTGTATTGCTCAAAAGAGTAATACAAAACAAATAGAGGGAATAAATGATGAGAAACAATACTTAAAAGCCGACCTGCACACATCTGTTTTCCACAACCACAGTAAACTGGTTTCCCCTGCTCACAGCTGCGGGGGCCACGGCGTCACTGAAATAAATGTCAGTCACAAACGGACAGTAAAAAAACTGCTGTATAAGCATGAAAAACACCCATCATGATCACGCACAATCACACCTGAGGAATAGTGTTCAATACTTAGAAGGGTGAGATGAGGTGAAATGGGGTTTAATGTCACATCCAAGATTATTGCACTTATTGTGTGTGTGTATGTGTGTGTGTGTGTGTGTGTGTGTGTGTGTGTGTGTGTGTGTGTGTGTGTGTGTGTGTGTGTGTGTGTGTGTGTGCTAGCCAACTGAGATACCATGCCGCAGTTTAACATGGATATTCCACTCACACACAGTATACTGACTCTGAGCCGACCAGTCCTTGTTTTAGAACCTTAATGCCGAGCACCAGACAGGGTAACAACAGGTACCATCTTTTAACGTCTTTTGGTATAACGCGGCCGGGGATCAAACCCCGGACATTCCACTCTCTACTAGACCACGGAGGCGGTCATATCTAGAAGGGTTTACTCTTGAAACAATCACAAGAATTTATTTTTCAATATGACCTATTTCAACTTTACAATTGACAAACTAGTTGGTCTGTGTCCAATATATTGCACTAGATGCACTTATTACCAACTAAGGGGCGGTGGGGTAGCCTAGTGGTTAAGGGGTTGGCTCGTCAAGCCGAAGACCCAGGTTCAATTCTACAGATGGGTACAATGTATGAAGCCCATTGTTGGTGTCCCCCGCCATGGTATTGCTGGAATATTGCTAAAAGCAGATTAAAACTATTCCCACTTGAGCCAATTTCAAACTCAACTGCAGAGGCATAGCAGGAAATCACTCATCATTTTGACAGTTTTTTTTATTACAGTATGACTAATAGTATTTGATTTTAAAAAAACATTTCACATATTCCGTCTAAAAAAGAGGACTGGTATGGTGCTGACAAACCTAGAAACATGATCGGGGCAAACAAGGATTTGAACTCATGATCATAGGTTTCTGGCGTGCCCAAGTGTCACAACTCTGCACAGCGAATTGCGGCACCTTAGACGACTGGGACACACGTGAACCTAATCCATTTGAAGCTAAGCACAGGGATGAGAAACACAAGAAAACAATATGGATGCCAAATAAAACTCACTTTTGTTTCGTCTTGTCTTCAGCAACAATATGGTCTCCATCCTGGAAACTCAGAACAGCCAAGGGCAAGGAAACATCCTCGTCATTCAAGGACAGAAAGGCAGGCGACAGGTCAGATCCCACGATCTTCTTTAGAGTCAGATCTGACTCTTGTATTCCGGTTAAGGCACAGACTGACGATTTAAAGGCAGCAAACGAGATGTCTTTGGAAAAGCCGCAGCTAAACTGGGATGGGTTGCCGTAGACGATAGTCAGATAGATGGGCTCACATTCCGGACCAGTAGGGATGGACCCCCCTCCCACCTGCCACAGAGGATGGGGAGAGAGTGAGTGAATGTTGTTTTACACCACAGTCAGTAATATTAAAGATATAGGTGAGGTGAGGTGAGGTGAGGTGAGGTGAGGTGAGGTGAGGTGAGGTGAAATGGGGTCCAAGATTATTGCACTTATATAGCGACGTGCATGTACATGTGTGTGTTTGTGTGGCTGCTTGTACTAGTCCGGACTGATGCCGATTTATAGTGCCAGCTCACTGAGATACCATGCCGCAGTTTAACATGAATACCCCACTCAGACACAGTATACTGACTCCGGGCCGACCAGTCCTTGCTTCAGCCCCTAAATGCCGAGCGCCAGACAGGGTAACAACAAGTACAATCTTTTAACGTCTCTTGGTGTGACGCGGTCGGGGCGGACGCTCTACCACTAGACCACGGAGGCGGCCATTAAAGATATAGCACTACATCCTGTTGTTCATTGAGTCTCAACCAGGCATACCAATGGTTAACAGCATGAGAAATGATTGTCAACATTTGGCACAATGACACAGCTGGGCTGCAGATTGTACAATCCAACATTAAGTAGTCATTTCTTAAAGCTAATATCAGATTCTTCACTCACATTCGAGAAGATCTGACACACCCAACCTGAGAGGAGGCGTACACAGGGATCGATTTCACTATATCCAAGCTGCACCAGTGCAGGTAAAACATTGCTAGTGAAGGTGACTTGTATTGCCAGGATGCACCCAATGCAGGTAACATTGGTAACATGGGTAACAAGTGCACGGCAGTGGTTATATTTGAAAAAAGTGGAAAACTGAAGAACTGGCTGCAAATCTTTTAGAATCCAGGAAATAAACGTTCCTTAAAATAGTAAAGTACACAGGTCTGAATGCAGTGAACTTACAGAAGTAATTCTTAACAAATACCACTAGAACAGTCACTCATGAGGTTACAATCACAACAAACAGTTACTTTGAAACTTCTGTTTGCGGTTGTTTACTGGATATCCAGGTATGAAAAACCACATACAGATTTCCCCAAAATAAAATACAGGAGCACATTCTCAAGTTTATTTTCTCTTTGAATTTTTTTTATAACTGAAATAACTGAAAACTCAGTGTTTACTTTTATGATAAACTGGTGCAACCAGTATTTTGGTGGTGCAACCTGATTAAGTTACTTGGTTGCACTGACATCATGAGCATCGACCCACATATTTGGGATGTGATGACATGCATCAACCAAGTCAGGGAGGAAGTGAAACAAGCTGGTGAAGTATTGATGAGAGAGTATACACATAGTGTTTAGATCTGCATCTTGTTGTTCATAGTTGCCTCCCCTACCTGTGCCAGGATTTGGTGATTGTGGGTTATAATCCAAAGTTCTCAACATTCTGGCACATCATGGCAATTCAACTGCATGAACAACACCAGTATTATTTTGATTTCCTCAGTTAAATGTTGTTACAGATACTAGAAGCAAATACAGACCAGTTCCCCGTCCCACACGAACAGCTTGGCGTTGTTGTCGATGTTCAAAGATGAAATCAGCTTCTCAGGCTCATCTGAAACAGAGACATCCTTTGTTTGTTTGTTTGTTGCTTGTTTAATGTCGCACGCAGCAATATTCCAGTTACATGTACATGACTGTGGCTGGTAAACAATCAAGTCTGGTGCAGTATGCAGCATACAGTATGCAGTATGCAGTATGCCATGAATGTTTATCTGATATGCACATGCCAATAATTCATGTTGAATTTATTTTTCCATCTTTTTTTCTAGCAAAAAATAAAAAAAATTGCACTAAGCTTATTTGCATCCATGGTTATGCATTTCATGTGAAAATTCCAGTCTAGTTTTACTTGTATCAGCTGCAGACACTGACACGACTCAAGAGTTGATAAACTGGATGCCAAGACATGGGGCTGGTGGCAGATATAATCAGGAAACACCAAATGAAAAACATCTCAACCCTTGTCACGACCATATTTAAAAACATTTCCAAGGGTTATAAAATGGACATCCATCATATGATATCTCTGCGATGTCCAAGCGCTGAATGGTTTCAAAATGTGTGTGGCGACAGCAGCAGGCAAATCATGTCAATACAGTAATGAATTAACTCACCTGAGACACAATCATACAGGTGAGAATTAACTCATCTGAGACACAATCATACAGGTGAGCATTAACTCACCTGAGACACAATCATACAGGTGAGCATTAACTCATCTGAGACACAATCATACAGGTGAGCATTAACTCACTTGAGACACAATCATACAGGTGAGCATTAACTCACTTGAGACACAATCATACAGGTAAGAATTAACTCATCTGAGACACAATCATACAGGTAAGAATTAACTCATCTGAGACACAATCATACAGGTGAGCATTAACTCACTTGAGACACAATCATACAGGTGAGAATTAACTCACCTGAGACACAATCATACAGGTAAGAATTAACTCATCTGAGACACAATCATACAGTAATGAATTAACTCACTGGAGACACAATCATACAGGTGAGAATTAACTCACCTGAGACACAATCATACAGGTAAGAATTAACTCACCTGAGACACAATCATACAGGTAAGAATTAACTCACCTGAGACACAATCATACAGGAAAGAATTAACTCACCCGAGACACAATCATACAGGTGTGCATTAACTCACTTGAGACACAATCATACAGGTGAGAATTAACTCACTTGAGACACAATCATACAGGTAAGAATTAACTCACCTGAGACACAATCATACAGGTAAGAATTAACTCACCTGAGACACAATCATACAGGAAAGAATTAACTCACCCGAGACACAATCATACAGGTGAAACCCAGCAGGTAAATCAAGCATTCTGTGCAGAGTCAACTTGTCAGGAACCAGATTCCCACCCACCTGGAACAGATGATATGTCTGTGACGGGACCTTGAGTGATTTTCATAATAAAAGTCTATTTCATAATAATTAGTGAACTTCAGCTGCAGGTCCGCATTTTGGCATAATGGATCTGCATTATTTGAAATAGTAATTAGCATTGTTTTGAAAGTTATCAGATGTGTTCACACATATGAAAGTAGGACTTTGTCTTTGTCAATGTTTGCATGTTTTCGAACTACCACAATGCTTTGTGTATATACAAGGCTAAAAATATGTGAAAACACTGAATCTGGATTTACTGTTTCACGAATCATTTTCCAATATGTAAACATCAGGAAGTCTTTGACTGAAGCAGATTTTCTGATGGGACATAGAAGAAGGCAGTACAAAAATAACGATAGAACTTCGGTATAGGTCACAGACTTGATTACACTTGTACATGTATTATCATTTGGAAGTTTAGATAATCAGCTTTTATCTCATTGAAGCTATGTTTATGTACCAGACATAATCAGAAGTCCAAAACTATAAACCAATTGAACATATCTGATACCATAACATTAATAATGTGACATTTTCAGTGCACCAACTTTAAACTCGCCTTTGTGAGTTAGTAATATCGATGTCACTAAGTTAATTATATTTGCTCAAGCCCAAACTGACACAAATGGCAGACTTTAATCTCCTTGGCCAAGTCACAAACAGGCGCTGGCAACGAAGGATCATGATCAGGATTCGAAACCCGGATCCTGGCAGCAAAGGGATGCAACTCTGCACAGCGTAATGCATCCCCTCACACTTCTGTATCACCCATTCTCCTTCTATAAGGAATCACTGAAATAAGTCATACCTCTCTCACAGAGAAAAAATTAACCAAATATTTCGAACCTCTCTAACAGACACCAACAAGTCTGCCACAGATTTCCGTCTGTCGATGGTGAGTTCTGAAAACTTCCCACTGGGGTGAGACAGCTTGAGCGCCCCTTCCTTGTAGTGATAGTGAGGCTCGAAGTGGAGCTGGACGGTGATTGTGTTGACCTTCACGTCGTACTCTTGTCTGCGAACAAAAGCAGAATCTCAGAACAAACCGTTTGTGTTATAGCTCGGCAAATGTAAGAATGTCATCTACAGAATGTAAGAATGTCATCTACAGAATGTAAGAATGTCATCTACAGTGTCAGGGGCAGGATGCGTAGCGACCATACAAAAGTCCTGTGATTGTATTTCAAACCACTGATTTTCAGATTTGAGGTCAGACGCTTGACCAAAGAGGTTAAAGAGGTCAATCAGCTAACTTGCAAGGTGAGGTTGTCATCTGTTGGCTACTCCACTCCCTGCTACAAGTGTTTACAAAGTGGGTTTATATGACACAAGCCCGACAGTCATAAATCCTTTAAACCAAGTTTCAAATGTCACATAAACTATGAGTCTTCATGATCTTCCGCAGAGTGATGAGATATTCTACTGCCCTGGAGTTAGACAAACATTCAGTCCCAGAATTTTTATTTATTTATGAAATTGTCTTTTAATACATAATAGAAAGGAGCAGAGAAATCTCTTCATTTTCAGAAATTAAATACCTAGACTTGCCAAAGTATTGTAGACAAACCTGATCCCCCTCACCTGGAGGAGACTACCTGACCCCCTCTCACCTGGAGGAGACTACCTGACCCCCTCTCACCTGGAGGAGACTACCTGACCCCCTCTCACCTGGACGAGACTACCTGACCCCCTCTCACCTGGAGGAGACTACCTGACCCCCTCTCACCTGGACGAGACTACCTGACCCCCTCTCACCTGGACGAGACTACCTGACCCCCTCTCACCTGGACGAGACTACCTGACCCCCTCTCACCTGGACGAGACTACCTGACCCCCTCTCACCTGGACGAGACTACCTGACCCCCTCTCACCTGGAGGAGACAAACCTGACCCCCTCTCACCTGGAGGAGACTACCTGACCCCCTCTCACCTGGACGAGACTACCTTACCCCCTCTCACCTGTAGGAGACAACCTGACCCCCTCTCACCTGGAGGAGACAAACCTGACCCCCTCTCACCTGGAGGAGTCTACCTTACCCCCTCTCACCTGGAGGAGACTACCTGACCTCCTCTCACCGGTAGGAGACAACCTGATGCCTCTCACCTGGAGGAGACTACCTGATCCCCTCTCACCTGGAGGAGACTACCTGACCCCCTCTCACCTGGAGGAGACTACCTGACCCCCTCTCACCTGGAGGAGACTACCTTACCCCCTCTCACCTGGACGAGACTACCTGACCCCCTCTCACCTGGAGGAGACTACCTGACCCCCTCTCACCTGGACGAGACTACCTGATCCCCTCTCACCTGGAGGAGACAAACCTGACCCCCTCTCACCTGGAGGAGTCTACCTGACCTCCTCTCACCTGGAGGAGACAAACCTGACCCCCTTTCACCTGGAGGAGACTACCTGATCCCCTCTCACCTGGAGGAGACAAACCTGACCCCCTCTCACCTGGAGGAGTCTACCTGACCTCCTCTCACCTGGAGGAGACAAACCTGACCCCCTCTCACCTGGAGGAGACAAACCTGACCCCCTCTCACCTGGAGGAGACAAACCTGACCCCCTCTCACCTGGAGGAGACTACCTGACCTCCTCTCAACTGGAGGAGATAAACCTGACCCCCTCTCACCTGGAGGAGACTACCTGACCCCCTCTCACCTGGAGGAGACAAACCTGACCCCCTCTCACCTGGAGGAGACTACCTTACCCCATCTCACCTGTAGGAGACTACCTTACCCCCTCTCAACTGGAGGAGATAAACCTGACCCCTCTCACCTGGAGGAGACTACCTGACCCCCTCTCACCTGGAGGAGACAACCTTACCCCCTCTCACCTGTAGGAGACTACCTTACCCCCTCTCAACTGGAGGAGATAAACCTGACACCCTCTCACCTGGAGGAGACTACCTGACCTCCTCTCACCTGGAGGAGACTACCTGATCTCTCACCTGGAGGAGACTACTTGATCCCCCTCTCACCTGGAGGAGACAAACCTGACCCCCTCTCACCTGGAGGAGACTACCTGACCCCCTCTCATCTGGAGGAGACAAACCTGACCCCCTCTCATCTGGAGGAGACAAACCTGACCCCCTCTCACCTGGAGGAGACAAACCTGACCCCCTCTCACCTGGAGGAGATAACCTGACCCCCTCTCATCTGGAGGATACAAACCTGAACCCCTTTCATCAGGAGGAGACAAACCTGACCCCCTCTCACCTGGAGGAGACAAACCTGACCCCCTCTCACCTGGAGGAGACAACCAGACCCCCTCTCATCTGGAGGAGACAAACCTGACCCCCTCTCACCTGGAGGAGACAACCTGACCCCCTCTCATCTGGAGGAGACAAACCTGACACCCTCTCACCTGGAGGAGACAAACCTGACCCCCTCTCACCTGGAGGAGACAAAGCTGACACCCTCTCACTTGGAGGAGACTACCTGACACCCTCTCACCTGGAGGAGACAAACCTCTCACCTGTCTTTTGCCAAGTTATCATTCTCCAGCAGGATGTCTGCCAGGATGTTGTCTGGAATCTGGTACCCAGGATTTCCATCTGCTAAAGTAAAATAACAAGACAGTGGAGAGTGTGGTGCAGAATAGAATGTGTAGTTTCTGGGCTTCAGGATCCTGGCATACCTAAGGGGCACAACTCTGTACATAAAATTGAAGCATCTTAGACAACTGGGCAAACAAGTGTGGACTGAACACACAATTTCATAAATTATCCCCAAAAAATATTTCATGATCCCGAAATGTGTTTTGTTCAGTATGCATGAATTGTTCGTAACAGAAGTATCCTGCAGTCACTTGCCTTCCCAGTGTATGTGCCTGAAGCATATACTGTGCTGGGTGTATCTTTGGGCCAGCGGCCTACATCAGTTAGCAGTAACAAGCAGATACACTTCTGGTCTAAAGATCTTGACCTTCTTATTCAGCTATGTGATGTCACAAATGTAAAGTTATTGTTATATGCTGCAAATACAGTCTGAATTATCTTGTTCACAAGTAAAGAAAATCTGTGAATGACATTGACATTGTGGAAATGGAAGAGACCAGCCTCCCCTATCATTTGGAGGAGACAAAACAGCCTCCCCTCTCAAGTGGAAGTGACAAAACAGCCTCCCCTCTCATGTGGAAGATACCAGCCTCCCCTCTCAAGTGGAGGAGACAAACAGCCTCCCCTCTCAAGTGGAAGAGACAAAACAGCCTCACCTCTCAAGTGGAAGACACCAGCCTCCCCTCTCAAGTGGAAGAGACAAAACAGCCTCCCCTCTCAAGTGGAAGAGACAAAACAGCCTCACCTCTCATTTGGAGGAGACCAGCCTCCCCTCTAGTTTGGAGGAGACCAGCCTCCCCTCTCAAGTGGAAGAGACAAAACAGCCTCACCTCTAAAGTGGAAGACACCAGCCTCCCCTCTCAAGTGGAAGAGACAAAACAGCCTCCCCTCTCAAGTGGAAGAGACAAAACAGCCTCACCTCTCATTTGGAGGAGACCAGCCTCCCCTCTCAAGTGGAAGAGACAAAACAGCCTCACCTCTCAAGTGGAAGACACCTACCTCCCCTCTCATGTGGAAGAGACAAAACAGCCTCCCCTCTCACGTGGAAGAGACAAAACAGCCTCCCCTCTCATTTGAAGGAGACAAAACAGCCTCCCCTCTCATTTGAAGGAGACAAAACAGCCTCCCCTCTCATTTGGAGGAGACCAGCCTCCCTTTCATGATACGTTTAGGGAGGCCTTACAGTGAGGGGCTGCTTATTAATTCCTCCTCTACAAGGTATTTGTTTTATCTTGTTTTAAAATGTCAATGTGGGAGCCATGCCGACCTACCCTCCTGTGTCCTGGCTTTCTGTTTTCTCCGATAGAACAACATGTATGCACTCTCCCTCCCTGAGAAGTGGTTTTCGATCTCCTTCACTGTGATGGGGGAGACTCGGGAATCGTCGAAGTTGAACCACCGATATCCCACTGGTGCAGACTCTGGGCTTGTCGGTCTGCACACAATAACACAATCACAAAAACAGAGCCACAAGATGCTGAAGCTCACCTGAATTGGGAAGAAATGACGACAGAAATGTTTAAAATTAGATCAGAACTCTGAGAGCATGTTTTAGAGACACCATCACTGGGTTTGTTCATACACAGTTTCACCTTCACCGGCCTTGTAGTTTCTTCGGAGATGTCAAACATGGAAAAGTTAGGGACTGACAACCAGACAGACGACAACAGACAACAAAAGCTCACTTGACTTTCAGTCAGTTGAGTTTAAAACTGGGATGGGTCTACTAGTCAACCTTGCCGGACAACTTGTGTCAGATGTCCATTAAATTGCATAGATGCATTGTATCTATTTTCCCTACTATTAAACAGGAGACACCATTGGTCATATCTAGCTAGTCTGCAAGTCATTTCTGACTAGTAGCTTATGCAACATAGCTAGATTTGGGAAAAAACAACTAGTCCATCTGAATTTTCACAAGACTCGGACAGGCTAATGGCCATGTCCTCCCTGGTATTTGATATGGGGCAGTTGGGTAGCCTTGTAGTAAAATTGTTTGCTTGTCACACCGAAGACCTGGGTCCAATTCCCATAATGGGTACAATGTGTTAAGCCCATTTCTGGTGTCCCCACCAGGATATTGCTGGAATATTACTAAAAGTGTCGTAAAACAATACTCACTCACTATTTGATATGGGAAACCAAACACCGAAATAGAATGCCAGTTTAGATTGCAGAAGAAATACAAAAGTACAGAATTAGGAAGTTGTTCCTACTTGTGAGGATTCCTGTTTTCCTTGTCCCCAGATAGGACACCGGTGGTGTCATGGCCGCCACTGACGTCTGCTACAGCAGGATCTGTCCCCGCTGCCTCCTCTGTGACTGAAGATGCACTACCAGTGTCTGTGACTGAAGACACACTACCAGTGTCTGGGAATAAAGACACACTACTTGAGTCTGTCCCTGTAGTCGGACTGTCTGTCGGTGGAGGCTCGCTGCCCGCCAACATCACCCATCTAGTGTCGGGGTTGTACACGATTTGGCCCTTACGCTTGCTCAGGTACTGAAATGAAAATAATCTCCGTACAGACAACTCAGAAAGATTTCCCAAGGCATCAATTAATCATAACTATCATCATACTTGTTCCTTAGAGAACCCAAACATTTAATGTCAGAAGTAGTGGTAGAGTTACCTCCCCTGATTCTAACAGGGGGTTTAATGTCGGGTCCAAGATTATTGCACTTATATAGCGACATGCATGCACGTGTGTGTGTGGCTGCTTGTACTAGTCTGGACAGGTGCCGATTAATAGTGCTAGCCGAGATACCATGCCGCAGTTTAACATGAATACCCCATTCAAACACTCTATACTGCCTCAGAGCTGACCTGTCCTTGTTTTAGCTCCTTAATGCCAAGGTAGACTGGGTAACAACAAGTACCATCTTTCAATGTATTTTGGTATGACACGGCTGGGGATTGAACCCCAGACCCTCTGCTCTCAGGGCAGACGCTCTACCATTAGACCACGGAGACAGTCCACCATAGAGAAATCATTGGTTTTCACTTAGTAAATATTGTCAAATGTCTCATCACATGGAACCAGTTTTGCAGTTTATCCACTGACTATGAGTGTTTGTTTGACAACCCCCCAGAATAACCAGGGAGGGATACACCCAGCCATGTTACAACACCAGCCAACATTGGCTGACATTTTCCCTGAAGTGATGTGGTCAGTCTGTACCACCACCAGGGAGGGATACACCCAGTCATGTTACAACACCAGCCAACATTGGCTGACATTTTCCCTGAAGTGATGTGGTCAGTCTGTACCACCACCACCAGGGAGGGATACACCCAGTCATGTTACAACACCAGCCAACATTGGCTGACATTTTCCCTGAAGTGATGTGGTCAGTCTGTACCACCACCAGGGAGGGATACACCCAGCCATGTTACAACACCAGCCAACATTGGCTGACAATTTCCCTGAAATGATGTGGTCAGTCTGTACCTTGGTGAGAGTCCCATTGTTCTTCTTGAAACGCTTGTTCCACGTGACGCCTGTCTGCTTGCTGATTTCCTGAAATCACAACAATCTTCACTCTGACCAGAGGGACATCCACAGACCAGGAAAACCTATTGCTTTACGTAAAACCACAATTTTCACACCGATAGTTGTGACCCACCAGGAGAAAAGGGACCTGATGGTTGCTAGGATACAATTGTGCTGTGACGCCATGAAGAAAGATGTTTGACATCAACTTACTTCAGTAATAAAAACTGCAATTATAACATAAACAGTTATAAGACTGAAATTGCAATCTCATTATAATCAGATCATAATTCTCGGTACTGCTACAGAGATCTGAGGACATCCCATTAGGGGTCACGTCAGAATGACCTTTCATCCAACCAATCAGAGCATCGCTTATAGGATCATGAAAGTGACAGTCGGAATGTGATTTATAATCATGCAACTTCAAAAACTTTAACATGGGGTATTCTGAACGATAGTTACGGGCTTAACGACCGGATCCATACAATCTAGACCATCTATAAGCCATTCCAGAATGTCTTTTGTTCAGGTTTCAAATTTTTAATCGAGAATTTGTCAAAATATGTTTCAAACCGTATTCGCCAATTTGAAATTAGTGCCGAAAAGGACGAGAAAAATGTCTTCTGATTGGCTAATGTCGACTTCTTGTCAGTCATTCCATTGGTCGGTCAAAGTTCTCGAACTTTCGTTCTGATGTGAGCCATAATGGGATGTCCTCAGGTCTTTGTTTGGTGGTAGCGAGAACAAAATCTGATTTTAGTGAGATTGCTGAAAATGGGACTTTGCAGCAAATGTTTGATGCCACATATTTCTGTAACAAATAGGAATTGAAACTAGTGAATTGTATTTTTGTGTTCCTAATATACTGTAGTTTTAAAACATAATGAAAAGTCAAAAATCACCCATGAGGTCCCTTATGTCATGGTTGGTCGCATTATTCATGAAGTGCCAAGGTTGAGTATATATGATGACGTATTGTTTATGTTAGTATGCAGATAAGCCTTGACATCATATGGCAACGTGATTCTGGCCCGGCAAAATGAGGGCATTATCAACCAGTGGCCAGCACCATTCCTGACAACTTGTGAGGCATTTTATGATAATTCTGACCATTTTATCTATAATGAACAATCATGTTGAATTTGTTAAAATTCCCCATAGCTTCCCCTTGTTACACATTGCATTAACTAACCTAGCATTACTACGTTACTGCTGATGCCGCCACTTCCTTCACTCACTAACTCGGGACGCTAAGGCAATGGTCTACACTCACTAACTTGAGCCACTACGGCAATGGTCTGCACTCACTAACTCGGGCCACTACGGCAATGGTCTGTACTCACTAACTCGGGCAATGGTCTGTACCAACTAACTCGGGCCGCTACGGCAATGGTCTGTACTCACTTACTCGGGCCACTAAGGCAATGGTCTGTACTCACTTACTCGGGCCACTAAGGCAATGGTCTGTACTCACTTACTCGGGCCACTAAGGCAATGGTCTGTACTCACTAACTCGGGCCACTACGGCAATGGTCTGTTCTCACTAACTCGGGCCACTACGGCAATGGTCTGTACTCACTAACTCGGGCCACTACGGCAATGGTCTGTACTCACTAACTCGGGCCGCTACGGCAATGGTCTGTACTCACTTACTCGGGCCACAAAGGCAATGGTCTGTACTCACTAACTCGGGCCACTACGGCAATGGTCTGTTCTCACTAACTCGGGCCACTACGGCAATGGTCTGTACTCACTAACTCGGGCCACTACGGCAATGGTCTGTACTCACTAACTCGGGCCACTACAGCAATGGTCTGTACTCACCTACTCGGGCCACTAAGGCAATGGTCTGTACTCACTAACTCGGGCCACTACGGCAATGGTCTGTACTCACTTACTCGGGCCACTAAGGCAATGGTCTGTACTCACTAACTCGGGCCACTACGGCAATGGTCTGTTCTCACTAACTCGGGCCACTACGGCAATGGTCTGTACTCACTAACTCGGGCCACTACGGCAATGGTCTGTACTCACTTACTCGGGCCACTACGGCAATGGTCTGTACTCACTTACTCGGGCCACAAAGGCAATGGTCTGTACTCACTAACTCGGGCCACTAAGGCAATGGTCTGTACTCACTAACTCGGGCCACTACGGCAATGGTCTGTACTCACTAACTCGGGCCACTACGACAATGGTCTGTACTCACTTACTCGGGCCACTACGGCAATGGTCTGTACTCTCTAACTCGGGCCACTACGGCAATGGTCTGTACTCACTAACTCGGGCCACTCCGGCAATGGTCTTCACTCACTAACTTGGGCCACTACGCCAATGGTCTGTACTCACTAACTCGGGCCACTACGGCAATGGTCTGTCCTCACTAACTCGGGCCACTACGGCAATGGTCTGTACTCTCTAACTCTGGGTTCTACGGCAATGGTCTGTACTCACTAACTCGGGCCACTACGGCAATGGTCTGCACTCACTAACTCTGGCCACTACGGCAATGGTCTTCACTCACTAACTCGGGCCACTACGGCAATGGTCTGTACTCACTAACTCGGGCCACTACGGCAATGGTCTGCACTCACTAACTCAGGCCACTACGGCAATGGTCTGTACTCACTAACTCGGGCCACTACGGCAATGGTCTGTACTCACAGATCCCAGTTGGTCCACTGGCATGGCCTGGTTAGGATGTTTCTGCAGGATAATCTCAATGAGCTCGGCAGGGGAGTTGGTTTTGATCAACTCTACAGCTCCTGTTTTGCGCTTGCTGACAATCTCCACATCCACCTTACCCTGGAACAGAGTCGAACAATGTGATCCGCTGCCCATAATCTCCACATCAGCAATATTCTGTATCAGAGTCGAACAATGTGATCAGTTGGACCATAATCTCCACATCAGCAATATTCTGGATCAGAGTCAAACAATGTGATCAGTTGCCCATATTCGCCACATCAGCAATATTCTGTATCAGAGTCAAACAATGTGATCAGTTGCCCATAATCTCCACATCAGTAATATTATGTATCAGAGTCAAACAATGTGATCAGTTGCCCATAATCTCCACATCAGCAATATTCTGTAACAGAGTCAAACAATGTGATCAGTTGGACCATAATCTCCACATCAGCAATATTCTGTATCAGAGTCAAACAATGTGATCAGCTGCCCATAATCTCCACATCAGCAATATTCTGTATCAGAGTCAAATAATGTGATCAGCTGCCCATAATCTCCACATCAGCAATATTCTGTATCAGAGTCGAACAATGTGATCAGTTGGACCATAATCTCCACATCAGCAATATTCTGTATCAGAGTCGAACAATGTGATCCGTTGGACCATAATCTCCACATCAGCAATATTCTGTATCAGAGTCAAACAATGTGATCAGTTGGACCATAATCTCCACATCAGCAATATTCTGTATCAGAGTCAAATAATGTGATCAGTTGGACCATAATCTCCACATCAGCAATATTCTGTATCAGAGTCGAACAATGTGATCAGTTGGACCATAATCTCCACATCAGCAATATTCTGTATCAGAGTCAAATAATGTGATCAGCTGCCCATAATCTCCACATCAGCAATATTCTGTATCAGAGTCGAACAATGTGATCAGTTGGACCATAATCTCCACATCAGCAATATTATGTAACAGAGTCAAACAATGTGATCAGTTGGACCATAATCTCCACATCAGCAATATTCTTTAACAGAGTCGAACAATGTGATCAGTTGGACCATAATCGCCACATCAGCAATATTCTGGATCAGAGTCGAACAATGTGATCCGTTGCCAATAATCTCCACATCAGCAATATTCTGTATCAGAGTCAAACAATGTGATCAGCTGCCCATAATCTCCACATCAGCAATATTCTGTATCAGAGTCAAACAATGTGATCAGTTGGACCATAATCTCCACATCAGCAATATTCTGGAACAGAGTCAAACAATGTGATCAGCTGCCCATAATCTCCACATCAGCAATATTCTGTATCAGAGTCAAACATTGTGATCCGTTGCCCATAATCTCCACATCAGCAATATTCTGTATCAGAGTCAAACAATGTGATCAGCTGCCCATAATCTCCACATCAGCAATATTCTGGAACAGAGTCAAACAATGTGATCAGCTGCCCATAATCTCCACATCAGCAATATTCTGTATCAGAGTCAAACAATGTGATCAGCTGCCCATAATCTCCACATCAGCAATATTCTGTATCAGAGTCAAACAATGTGATCCGTTGCCCATAATCTCCACATCAGCAATATTCTGTATCAGAGTCAAACAATGTGATCAGTTGGACCATAATCTCCACATCAGCAATATTCTGGAACAGAGTCAAACAATGTGATCAGTTGCCCATAATCTCCACATCAGCAATATTCTGTAACAGAGTCGAACAATGTGATCAGTTGGACCATATTCGCCACATCAGCAATATTCTGGATCAGAGTCAAACAATGTGATCAGTTGGACCATAATCTCCACATCAGCAATATTCTGGATCAGAGTCAAACAATGTGATCAGTTGGACCATAATCTCCATATCAGCAATATTCTGGAACAGAGTCGAACAATGTGATCAGTTGGACCATAATCTCCACATCAGCAATATTATGTAACAGAGTCAAACAATGTGATCAGTTGGACCATAATCTCCACATCAGCAATATTTTGTAACAGAGTCGAACAATGTGATCAGTTGGACCATATTCGCCACATCAGCAATATTCTGGATCAGAGTCAAACAATGTGATCAGTTGCCCATAATCTCCACATCAGCAATATTCTGTAACAGAGTCGAACAATGTGATCAGTTGGACCATATTCGCCACATCAGCAATATTCTGGATCAGAGTCAAACAATGTGATCAGTTGGACCATAATCTCCACATCAGCAATATTCTGGATCAGAGTCGAACAATGTGATCAGCTGCCCATAATCTCCACATCAGCAATATTCTGTATCAGAGTCAAACAATGTGATCCGTTGCCCATAATCTCCACATCAGCAATATTCTGTATCAGAGTCAAACAATGTGATCAGTTGGACCATAATCTCCACATCAGCAATATTCTGGAACAGAGTCAAACAATGTGATCAGTTGCCCATAATCTCCACATCAGCAATATTCTGTATCAGAGTCGAACAATGTGATCAGTTGGACCATAATCTCCACATCAGCAATATTCTGGAACAGAGTCAAACAATGTGATCAGCTGCCCATAATCTCCACATCAGCAATATTCTGGAACAGAGTCAAACAATGTGATCAGCTGCCCATAATCTCCACATCAGCAATATTCTGTATCAGAGTCAAACAATGTGATCAGTTGGACCATAATCTCCACATCAGCAATATTCTGGATCAGAGTCGAACAATGTGATCAGCTGCCCATAATCTCCACATCAGCAATATTCTGTATCAGAGTCAAACAATGTGATCCGTTGCCCATAATCTCCACATCAGCAATATTCTGTATCAGAGTCAAACAATGTGATCAGTTGGACCATAATCTCCACATCAGCAATATTCTGGAACAGAGTCAAACAATGTGATCAGTTGCCCATAATCTCCACATCAGCAATATTCTGTATCAGAGTCGAACAATGTGATCAGTTGGACCATAATCTCCATATCAGCAATATTCTGGAACAGAGTCAAACAATGTGATCAGTTGCCCATAATCTCCACATCAGCAATATTCTGGAACAGAGTCGAACAATGTGATCAGTTGCCCATAATCTCCACATCAGCAATATTCTGGATCAGAGTCAAACAATGTGATCAGTTGCCCATAATCTCCACATCAGCAATATTCTGTATCAGAGTCAAACAATGTGATCAGCTGCCCATAATCTCCACATCAGCAATATTTTGTAACAGAGTCGAACAATGTGATCAGTTGGACCATATTCGCCACATCAGCAATATTCTGGATCAGAGTCAAACAATGTGATCAGTTGCCCATAATCTCCACATCAGCAATATTCTGTAACAGAGTCGAACAATGTGATCAGTTGGACCATATTCGCCACATCAGCAATATTCTGGATCAGAGTCAAACAATGTTATCAGTTGCCCATAATCTCCACATCAGCAATATTCTGTAACAGAGTCAAACAATGTGATCAGTTGGACCATATTCGCCACATCAGCAATATTCTGGATCAGAGTCAAACAATGTTATCAGTTGCCCATAATCTCCACATCAGCAATATTCTGTAACAGAGTTAAACAATGTGATCAGTTGGACCATATTCGCCACATCAGCAATATTCTGTATCAGAGTCAAACAATGTTATCAGTTGCCCATAATCTCCACATCAGCAATATTCTGTAACAGAGTCAAACAATGTGATCAGTTGGACCATAATCGCCACATCAGCAATATTCTGGATCAGAGTCAAACAATGTGATCAGCTGCCCATAATCTCCACATCAGCAATATTCTGTAACAGAGTCGAACAATGTGATCCGTTGCCATTAATCTCCACATCAGCAATATCCTGGAACAGAGTCAAACAATGTGATCAGTTGCTGTGCCAGGCCCACCATGAACATAATGACCCTACATATAATCTGCATTCTCGTGTTTAGTATCAGTGTCTGGGCTCCTGTCTACCTAAACAAGGAGATGGGCGGTGGCTGATTTGTCATAGGCTGCGATTGGACGACAGTAAACAGCATTCACTGGTCTTCGGTAACATTGAAAACAAATTGCGGACTACTTGAAGTTTATTGGCTGGACCTGCAGTGCTTTGTTCCCCGATTGCTTCAGTGTCCATTGAGTGGTTGTACTTACAGGATGCACCCAGTGTCCCAGGTTGTCGATGTCTCGGATGTAGGCGTGGTAGTGGCCCCCATATGCTCCGCCTCGATGTATCACCACAGAAAACAACTCATACTGAAGATCATCATCAGATTCGGACGTCTGGACATAAAATTGGAAGAAGAAAACTTAAATGAACAAAGTTTTGATTCCAATTCTCTCACCCCTTTACATTATCTGTTTTCTTTGTTTAATGCCACACTCAGAAATATTCCAGCTTCATGATGGCACCCTGGAAGATCCCAAACAGTGAGCATGGAAACGCTCTGAGTATGATGATAAACTATCAAAGTCAAAGACATCTCGAAGTCTGACAACCAAATCGATTACCCCACCTCTTACTACCAGCATAGGGTCCGGGGGATCTGTTCTAACCAAGAATCCCCACAGTAACAAGTAAGTCCAAATTGTATTTGTCACCGGATATATTTAAAGTTATTTTCATATTCCACGAGTGATCTCTATTTCCCTTTACGTGCGCTTTATCTCCCACTCTTACTCCCGGTTGTCCTACCAGCAGTATCTCATGCACATTTAGTCTGGAAGGTAATTTAAGGTACCGACGTTTACTACAATATCTGAAAAACTATCGGACCTACTCCAGTCAAAGTTGGTATGAGATAATTAAACAGTCATACATAACTGGATATTACATTTAATATATGCACGGGAATCACGCACGTTGAGACGCCCAATGCTAACACCCTATTCGTGCGGGCATGATTCCGGTGCACCCTTTCGAGTTGAGTTGATTGGTTCAACTGTGTCATATGGCCCTGTGACGCAGGGGTAGCATAATGCAGATGGCTGTTTCAATTAATGCTCGTTCCACCCGTGACGAACAGGTCTGGTTGTTGATGAAATATAGTGATAGCTAAATAGACAGACTTTTTATTCATGCACCAATTGTCTTTAAATGTAATATCCAGTTATGTATGACTGTTTAATAATTTCATACCAACTTCGACTGGAGTAGGTCCGATAGTTTTTCAGATATTATAGTAAATGTTGGTACCTTAAATTATCTTCCAGACTATACCTGGGCTGTGACGTAGACACTTTCATTAATATTGATGCTTTTTATATCTTTTACAGAGAATAAAACGTTTTAAACCATCTTCACCGCCTCAGTCCACTTAATTACATCGTTAGCAACGACCCTGAACATATTGTAAAGTTATGTATCGATACAAAATGATACAATTATAGATACATCAGCAACATTCCAGCAGCAACATGGCGACCTGTAAACATTCCAGTCTGGACCAGACGAACCAGAGGCTGATATCTGAGCAATGATCAACGTCGCCACGTCGCCACGTCGCCACAATTACAAACATTCAACCAAGTCACCAACTCACAGCAGAGTGCTGGGGACCTTTTCTAACCTGAATCATCTCTGAGTGATAGTAACCATGGCAACGTACCTTCTCCACGTAGGGTTTCATGTTCAGCTCCATGGGGAAAGTGAACTTCCCTGTTTCCTGAAACACCACGCAAACCATCAGGCAAAGATAGTAGTTGACAAGATCTAAGAGAAACCCGGTACTCAAGGCAATATTTGAAGCTAATCACATAGGGTATTTATATTTTTCTTTTGGTACTCAATATCATTTTACCCCCTCTTCTGGGTAGTCTTACATAAAAAAAAATGACGCTTCCTTAAAATACTTCTGCCTAAAATGCTGTTTTAGGTGAGTTCTAAATTTGCATCAGTTTATCTGCTGCACCAAGTTTGTCTGAAAAAAATCTCCCCAGCGATACCTGCAACGAGTTACATCAAACGAGACATAGCATATTTGTGTATAATTCACTGCAATAGAGTTCTAGTATGTCACATGCCTGAATGTTTTGTTTGTTTGTTATTTAACTCAGCAATATTCCAGCTATATGACGGCAGTCTGTAAATAATCGTTTCTGGACCACACAATCCAGTGATTGACATCATGTGCATCGATCCACGCAATTGGGATACGATGACATAGTCTCCTTTTATGGCAAGCATGGGTGTCTGAAGACCAGTTCTACCCCGGATCTTCACGGGTCACCTAAAAAGAGCAGCTTCACTGAAGTCAACATTCTGATTGAATGACGAAATGTTAACAATCTGTGATGTCCATGAATCATCGTGAGCATGAAGACATGTTCCCAACAATGCAGCAGAGTGAGAAAGGATCACTTTATCTAAAGACATATCGAGATGTATATACATCTTTGCGTCATCTGATTAGTCAGCTTGAAAATCACTAACAGCCTTCAAAATTCATACTAGTCCATTATTCCGAGACTAGTCACTTACTCAACTGTCAAGACAAACAAAAATACAATGGTGTAGTATTTATAAACAAGAAGCAGGGTTATAATTCTGAACCAGTTCTCTATGCTTCAATTTTGCAACAAATTGGAACTGAATAAAACTGACAGAAAATGTAAACATAGTGAACATATTGTCCTGTTCAAGCAGGGCTAGCTTCAAACTCTGTGGACTAGTGACATCGGGTTTACAAGAAAATACTGGGGAATAAAAGGTTAACTCTCACTTTGTATCTCTGCATCTTCTGAAAGTCGTAGCTGAACCTCAGCAGGGAGATGGTCAGGACCTGAGGGAGGTTGCGAATCTTGGCACCCTGTAACAGACACCAAACATATATATCTGTATTCAAATTTCACATCAGTAGGACAGTGGGGTAGTCTTGTGGATCCAGTGCTTCCCGGTGACAATGAACAGTCAGGGACACGCACAGCACACCGTCCATTACAGATAGCAGGGCATGCCGTCTTATTGTAGATAAAATAGAGGACGGCATGCCATGTAGTTAAAAAGTGTACAGCATGTCGTACAATTTTTTCAGGGAGTGTTCATAGAATTTAATTCTAAATTTGTGTACAGTGAGTGAGTGAGTTGGGTTTAACGCCACTTTTAACAGTATTCCAGTAATATCACGGCGTGTCAGCTTAATGTGGGAGGAAAGCCCGAAGTGATGCAGGTCTCAGACGTTTAGCACTTTGGTGAAACCCATGAGCACGGGTATGGTGCAGACAAACCTAGAAACATGATCAGGGCGAACTGGGATTCGAACCCACAATCATAGGTTTCTGGCGAAATTTGTGTACAGCATGTTGAAGACTGTACAGTAAGTGTTCATAACGAGCACAGATTCATACAGTTTGCATATCGGTTTTTCGATTCATACCTCAAAAATACAGTCAATCCTTATATGAATGAACGAGCGTATGTAGCCTCTGTTAGTTTCAGCAAGTTGTGGAATCAAACTACATTAAACTATGGTTATAACGAACTCAGAGGGACCACTAATTTTAGCTTGTTATAACCGTAGTTCGTTATGAGTATTTCGACAGAATTTATCCACTTTAAAGGCTATAGCCTAATTGGTGTGACACTGTTGTTAATTGTGGGTGTTAATTGGGGTCAAGGTATCAGTACTTGATCCTGTTAATCACTTGTCTTCAATTGTTTATTGCCGTTTTGAAGAGCCGCGCATGGCCACTGATGGTTTGATAGACAGATTGATGACAAGTGAGCAGCTCAGAGATTAACTGTTGCTTATAAACACAAACATTGTCATTGACAGAGCACAAAGTGAGTTCACTATATCTGTTATTTCTTTATGAAATAAAATAATAGTGTGTTATATCAGTTATAAGCGTGTTCGTTATATCCATTAATTTTATATGATGAAATATACAGCCAATGGCTGGGACCGAAGAAATAGTGTGTAATATCCGTCAATTCGTTATAAGCATGTTTTCATTGTCGATTTTAATTATAAGCATTGATTGAATTTTTTTTTGTTCATTGAGGTATGAATTGAAAAATCGATGTGCAAACTGCATGAATCCACGTAGCAGATTCTTACAGATAAACATTGATAAACATTCTGTGTGTAGGAATATATACTGTGCCGTGACATGAATCAGGTGAATGTTTAATTTATGCACATAACTTGACACGCCTACAAAGTCAGCAGCCAATCAACGGAGAGTTTGATAAAAACAATGTTCATAGGACCTGTCAATCAAGGCAAGGGGTGAGAAGAACTGCAACAGTCAGACTGTAACGAACCGGAACAAATATGTTCCGGAGAAGGCGGCTGTTTCTAATGACATGGTCAGTTACCGCCAGATTCAAACATTAGTTCCCTGAGAATGGGAAAACACAGTTGGAAATGTTTGTCAGAAAGACATGAAAGTTGTGGAACCGAGGCGAGCGGGGAAAAACAGGCGAGCGAGTCTGAAAGATTGCTGTGTTATTCCTTCTCTGCCTTCGTTCTCAAAGAGTTGTTTGGATGATGAATATGCATGAATGTCGCTAAATGTCCTGTGCATGACGATACACGTGAGTAGAAGGGGAATTCCCTCAACTGTAATATTGTGATTCCCTGACATTCCATAGTAATAAAAGTAGTCTGCTTTGGTGGGCGTGGCTTAATTTTTTACATTCATTGGGAAACGAATGCAATAACACGTGACCAATTCAGCTAATCACACTGCAGGAATTTCAATGAAGACAACCAAAATTTCATTTTTCTACATTTAAGAATGTCTGCGGGAGTGTATTTGTGTTCACCGTGTAACGGTAAATGTTGTGTATCAGGAGTCCTTTAATGACATATTTTAAGTTAACGATCTACAATACAAAGCAATGCACAGATGTCAGATCGTAAAAGACACAGATTTATATATCAAAATAAACAGATAATTTTGTGACATCAAAAAGTAATGAGAATACGAGGCATAAACTTTGAAGTCACTGCATTGTAACATCCTTGTGAGACGTCGCAGCATTCAAGAAAAAACAGGAAAACAAGTACAATCTTTTAGTATGACACATCTGGGGATCGAACCAACGACTTTCCCCTCGCCGGGCAGACGCTCTATCCACTAGACCAAGGAGGCGGCCCCACCAGCTATGACTCTCCATGTCCAGGGTTAGAGACCTAGGTGTGTTCAGCCACAACATGTTACAAAGTGAAACGTACGCTACCAACCTTTTTAGCATCAACTAGTTTCTGGCATCGGTCACAGCGGTACTGGTTCTTGCCGTCCATGACCTCCATGTTGCAGTAGGAGCAGTCGAGTGCTGTCTCCAGGCTGTCCATGCCACTCACAGACAGCGTCAGATCCAGGAAGTCCTCCTGAAGCACCACACAAGTTTGTTTTTTTTAATTGTTTTTATTCATTCCAGAGGGTACATAGTCATCGTATCATAAGAGGGATCAAATTACATGTTAATTACAATGAGAGAAATGTACATGAAGTGATATGACAGTAGGTTCACCTTTCCTACTTTGTAATAATTGTAAGAGATATAGATTAAGGAAGCTAATCCGTCTGCGTTATGGTTTTCTCCATTAAACTCCATTTTTTAGGGAAAGAACTAATTGTTCCGTTTCTTTTTGCAAGGAACAATTCGACATGGTAAATATCTTTCAGTATGTTTCTGTATGACTTAAAATATGGTTTTACTCCTTTAATATGTGTTACGTAAATGTGTCTTTTTGCCAATACCAATAAGTGATTTAATAAGATGTTGTTTGTATCTCAAAAAAAGATATCTTGAGCACCACACAAGTTATCAGCTGGGTTCTTATCAAGGAATTGTTACTTGTTTGTTTAACGCTGCACACACAATATTCCAGTTATATAATATACCTTGACCAATTTTGTAAATTTTTATTTTACACCAAGCATAATCTCTTCTGCAAGTATGCCTTGCATCTTGGGTAGTGTTTATGAGTTGTTTTACACCAGTCTCCAAAACCAAGCAGAACCCTCATAAAACTGTAAGTCCCTTTGGGCAAATGATTCAAAAAGAAAAATAAACAAATCCATGACATAATTGGTCTGTTCATGTTGTTTTGTCATTGCACTAAGGTTGTTTACTTAACGGGGAATAAAAAGTGCCTCATTCCCACTAAGGTCAAGCCAATTTTAGATTTGAGAAGCCGTTTATTTTATAAATGTCAAGTGATCATGTACGACACTGTGAAGGTGCTGCTGAGATAGGTGCCATATTGGGGCAAGTATTTAGTTCTGTGGAGTTTGTATTGTCGCCCCAGTGAGTACTCACCCTCCTCTCACTGATCTTCCCACACTCCTGGCAGATGATCTGTGGACAAAATACTTATTGACAAACAAAAAAATGTCAAACATATCAGAATAAGGTTCACTAACTTATCATTTCTCATACCTTACAGCAATATTTCTGTCACAACATGTACAAGACTGATAATATCTGCAAGGAAACATTTACTGGATTGATGAAGTTTCCATGACAACACGTACCTAATTGGTGAAGTTTCTATGACAACATGTTCCTGATTCATGGTCTTCATATGGAAACCTGATTACCTGATTTATTGTTTTCATGCCAACTGATTATCAATGTTACCATGACAACATGTACCTGATTGATGATGTAACCATGACAACATGTACCTGATTGTCGATGTTACCATGTCCTGAACCTGACAGACAATGTTACCATGACAACATGTACCTGATTGATGATGTTATCATGACATGTACCTGATTGACAATGCTACCATGACATGTACCTGATTGACGATGTTTCCATGACAACTAGTACCTGATAGACAATGTTACCATGACAACATGTACCTGATTGACGATGTTTCCATGGTAAAGCCTCTGTATGAGACTCTGCCCGGACGTCCCCACCAGGGAGTCTTCAATGGCGCTGAACAGGATCCTGTTGAGCTCCTGCACGTCATGCTGCTGGAATTGCTGCAAGGAATTCATGAGTGAGTGAGTGAGTGAGTGAGTGAGTGTGTGAGTGAGTGAGTGAGTGAGTGAGTGAGTGAGTGAGTGAGTGAGTGAGTGAGTTGGGTTGGGTTGAGCTCAGCTTTAAAAATGATACAGGTCTTAGGTTTGTTTTGTTTGTTTGTTTAACGCTGCACTCAGCAATATTTTGTAACTGTATGATGCCTTTCTGTAAATATTCAAGTCTGGACCAGACAATCCAGTGATTGACATAATGAGCATCGATCCACGCAATAGGGATATTATGACATGTATCAACCAAGACACTGAACCTGACCTCCAGTATCATTAATCATCTCATAGACAAGCAGTGGTTGCTGAAGACCAATTCTAAAACGGATCTTCACAGGGCGAGGTCTTAGATGTTTAACTCTTGGTCAAAACCCACAAACAAGGGTCTGGTACAGGCAAACCAAACACAATAATCAGGGTAAATGTTGGCTTCGAACCTACAATCATAGGCTTCTGGTCCTTCATAAAACTTTGGCATACTGAAGGGAAGCTACTCTGCGCAGCAAATTGTGCCTTAGACGACCGGGACAAGAATGCTCCCAACGGCATATTTAATATTCTAAAAGCTTTAGGAAGAAAAGAATACCAACAATGTTAACAATCAAGGATGAAAGGTCGGCCGTGGACACACTCTGCCTTGTAGCAACATACCTTGTTGTTAGTCCAGCCGACGGACTCCGTGAGATCGGCTGTGGACACACGCTGCCTTGTAGCAACCTACCTCGTTGTTAGTCCAGCCGAAGGACTCCGTGAGGTCGGCCGTGGACACACTCTGCCGTGTAGCAACCTACCTCGTTGTTAGTCCAGCCGACGGACTCCGTGAGATCGGCTGTGGACACACGCTGCCTTGTAGCAACCTACCTCGTTGTTAGTCCAGCCGAAGGACTCTGTGAGGTCGGCCGTGGACACACTCTGCTGTGTAGCAACCTACCTCGTTGTTAGTCCAGCCGAAAGGACTCCGTGAGGTCGTCCGTGGACACACTCTGCTGTGTAGCAACCTACCTCGTTGTTAGTCCAGCCGAAGGACTCTGTGAGGTCGGCCGTGGACACACTCTGCCGTGGAGCAACCTACCTCGTTGTTAGTCCAGCCGAAGGACTCCGTGAGGTCGGCCGTGGACACACTCTGCCGTGGAGCAACCTACCTCGTTGTTAGTCCAGCCGAAGGACTCCGTGAGGTCGGCCGTGGACACACTCTGCCTTGTAGCAACCTACCTCGTTGTTAGTCCAGCCGAAGGACTCTGTGAGGTCGGCCGTGGACACACTCTGCCGTGTAGCAACCTACCTCGTTGTTAGTCCATCCGAAGGACTCCGTGAGGTCGGCCGTGGACACACTCTGCCGTGTAGCAACATACCTCGTTGTTAGTCCATCCGAAGGACTCCGTGAGGTCGGCCGTGGACACACTCTGCCTTGTAGCAACCTACCTCGTTGTTAGTCCACCCGAAGGACTCCGTGAGGTCGGCCGTGGACACACTCTGCCCTGTAGCAACCTACCTCGTTGTTAGTCCATCCGAAGGACTCCGTGAGGTCGGCCGTGGACACACTCTGCCTTGTAGCAACCTACCTCGTTGTTAGTCCATCCGAAGGACTCCGTGAGGTCGGCCGTGGACACACTCTGCTGGTCAAGGAGCAGCAGACGGGCAAACAGGCGTTGAAGCTGCAGCGGAATCACTCGAACCTGAGGGTAAGAAACACAACTGTCACAGCCATTTTCTAAACTAGGAATCATTGGACAATTAACTTATAAGTCTTAGTTTCAACAGTATATAATAGGTGTCAACAACCCCTGAGAAAGCAGTCCGAGACATCCACTGGCCATCTTCCCAAGGCAAGGGAGTTGGTTGGTTGGTTTGTTGTTTAACACCGCACTCAGCAATATTCCCGCTATATGACGGAGGTCTGTAAATAATCGAGTCTGGACCAGACAATCTAGTGATTGACATCATGAGCATCGATCCACGCAATTGGGAAACGATGACATGCATCAACCAAGTCAGCGATCCTGACCACCCGATCCCATTAGTCGCCTCTTACGACAAGCGTAGTTGCTTTTTAGACTGAGTTAACTGACTGTTTCCACCCTTGCCGAACTAGGCTGGGATTTCCAGGCTTGATCATAGCGCCACCAGTCTTACCTCGCAAAGTGCATCAAGTCACTTGAGCACTTTGATAAAAAACATAAGATTTGCAAAATATCTGTCCACCAAAATCTGCACATTGAAATCCATGTTGTTTTTAACTGGATGACCAGTTCGGCACGTATGCATAGACTATGCATAGACTCGTTATTCCAGCCAAAATGTAATCCCGGAATAGTTTTCTATGTACAACAAATATCTAAAATTTGGCTATAACAAAAATGGTAGGGTCCCCAGAAGTTGAATTCCAACACAGTACGCATGTAAGTATTCAACCCGGGCCTTCAACATCATGATTGAGTGCTTCAGCCAATCAGATTCACATACTCTCATCCCATCACCATCCTCTATCATTACCATGGTTACAGGAGACGTACAGGGCCTGAATCTCAATACAGAACAACACAGGCAGCCATTCAGGAGTGAGTGAGTGAGTGAGTGAGTGAGTGAGTGAGTGAGTGAGTGAGTGAGTGAGTGAGTGAGTGAGTGAGTGAGTGAGTGAGTGAGTGTGTGAGTGAGTGAGTGAGTGTGTGAGTGAGTGAGTGAGTGAGTGAGTGTTGTTCACTGCCCAGTCAGCAATATCCCAACGAAATCACATCAACCTGTAAATTCTGGACCAATCCCATCACCATCCTCTCCCATTACCATGGTTACAGGAGACTCTATTCTGGACCAAGCAAACCTGTGACCAGGGAAGGACCAATGATCAACACCATCACGGTATGGTGCCCCACAATCGACTAAGTCACAGATCCGGACATACAGAGCCCAAGGTTAGCGCTTACGACAAGCAACAAATACTGGACAGCTATTCTGACCAATCATCCCGAAGTAAGGGAGTTAACTGACTGTAAAGTCCAGTTTCCACCCTTGCCGAACTAGGCTGGAATTTCTGGGATTGACCGTTGTGCCACCAGTGGTTATGATGAATTAGTTCCCTTTTATGTCTCTACTATTGACCAATCAGATTCCATCTCTCATAACACTTGCATTTGCTTCAAACAAACTGACGGTGCCCAGTCAAGACGATTTGAGGCATAATCAAAATCTATATTGTGATAAAATGAGTCTTACTTCGTGAAGTGCAGCAAATCATTTGACAACCTTGACTAAAAATATGAAAAGATTTGGAAAATGGCTGTTGACGCCAAGGTCAAATCCTGCAATCCTGCAATCGACCAAATTCTGTACAGCAGTTTACAAACCGGATGTCACTTCATTACGCGATTTTTTAATAGACTATGACTCATTAGTCCACCCAAAACATAACTCCATAATTGAGACTAGTTTGGCAAGTGTGGAAACTGGACTTTTCTAGTCGGCAAACTCCCTTGCCTCAGGAAGACGATTCTGAACAGGAATTTCCACAGGGTTTTTAGGATTGTGATGCTCTACTAAAGCAAAGTAAGAACAACCTACTTATGAAATAATTGATAGTGTTACTGATACAATAAAACAATCTGTTAAACATGGCGTCATGACAAATCTGGGATCAGCAAGCAGGACTTCTAGCACTTTGGCTCTAAATACTATTGCCTAAATATCATTGATGACCGATGCTTTGCAAAGGCCGATCCAACGCTTTGGCACAACATGCCCGTCAACATCAAAAGTGCCAAAGATATCAAACAAACTAAGGGAGTGTTAAAAACCTATTTGTTCCAAACCACCTACAACACTCATTGAACTCTCACTTTGGCCACCAGACTCATGCAAAAGCGCCTTTGAGCAGATCCAATCTGGAAATTGGTGCTAAATAAATTTATATATATTTAATTTTTGTTATTGCTTAAGTTTCCAAAAAGTATAGAGAATTCCCCATGAGTACTTATACCTTATGTAAACAAACACCACCGGAAATCATTTGGCACTATATGTTAAATGGGGAGTTTCACTCAGGCACTGCTTAGATTTTTGAAATTACTTTAGTTAAATGAAATATGTTTTAAACTTTGATTACTTCAAGAATAACATTACACGATATGAGATTAATACCCTTGCATGTTTCCATTCCCTTGGATAATATTCTCCATAGGTGAGAATAAACAGGCAAAGTGACTGTTACCTTGGCGCCAGGTTTATCCTTGTCCTCCAAACATCCAAGATCTGTTTCTCTCAGTTGAAACAGGGATTCTGGAAACAGAATTACAAATTATATACTTTGAAGATGAAAGCACTGAAGTTTTGTTTATATTCTTGAGACAGAGTGCGCACATGCAAAATATCTGGCTCCACCGCATATAAAAGAGAGTGAGTTGGGTTGAAAAGTATTTCAGTCATATCAAGGCATGTCATCCGAGCTAATGTGGGAAGAAAGCATAAACTAATGCAGCCCACATGTTTACAACTCACAAAACCTTAAAAGTGAATTATGTTGTGTTGACATCTTATCAATGATCCTATTTTAGGCAAATCTCAGAATCCAACCTTGACTAGCTGATCCTGGCATGACTAGGGCACACAACTCTGTGTAGCAAATTACATTGCCATATACCACTACGATATACCACACTCTTGCATTTGTCACAGGAAAACCAAGCTTATTACTGAAGCAGTTGCATACATATATTGATATAGACACTAGGGCAGGGACAAGTCCAAATTTACCACCCAGGTACCCACCCCCCTATTACCAAACCCTATGGGGAACCCGCTGTAGATATCAAGACATATCTAGAAAATGACCGATTGGGAAACGTTTGACTGTACTCATGTCAAAATGTAATTAGATACATGTATAAAATGATCTCGTCATGCATACACTGAAGTTGACTGAAGTGTTTTCTTTATGCAAACATATAAAGTCATAGAGAATGGGTGCATAGTCAGAAAGAAATGCAAACATTAGGACATTAGTCCTTGATCATCTTTGCCATTAAACAATATATCACGTGACTAACCAGTAACCACAGGTTGCGGGAGTCCTGTGGGAACCCGGGTCCTACATAGTACCCACCCGACCTGAGTACCCATCCCAGCCCTAATAGACACTGAATCTGGACATGTGCTTGTGTCAAAATGCAAACATATGCTTAAGCTACGTTTGTCACTGAACCTTCATGACCTGCTTATAAATCGCCCATTTGCTGGTATAAATATTACCACAGTCTCATCACAGTTAATGTGGTAATATGGCGATGCCAATCACACATATCTTGTAGATCTTTTCCCAAGCTTAACTGAAAAAAAAATTGTAATCTTTAATAAAACTTCATATTACTTAGAATGATATACCTCTGAATTCTGGTGTTAAAAGTAGAGTTTGTAGCAGCGAGTTCAGATAGCATGTCGCGCCCTGATTGGCGATCCCGGCGAGGTTACATTGAGATCGGGGTGTTCTGGGTGCCCCGCCTTTCTCAGAACTGAAAGGAGTTGTCTCAAGACTTTCAAAGGCACCCTTCTCTTCTTCAAATAAGTTTCCTAACATGTTGATAGAACTCCTTTCCGACTGAATAAGTACGAATTATCTTCATCCGCAGGTCTTTGCTTAACTGTCATCACAACACAACCAATTTCTGATGGACTAGACTGTGTTGACTACATGTGTTGCAAGTGTCAGCCATTATACCGGAAGTAAACAATACTGATACGAAGGTCAAGGTTGGAGTGGACAGCGCGCGAATTATGAAATAGAAGTTAAATAACACGTTGTCACATTTAAAGTTGGGTGAAATGGGGTAAACATCGCGTTCGCGATTTTTGCACTTATACAGCGACGGCACTGTAATGCCATGCTGCAGTTTAACATGGATACCACACTGGATACCACACTTAAATACAGTATATACCGACTCCGAGTCGTGGTGTCGTTGCTGAAATACGGCTTGTGGGTCATGGTGTTGCTGAAATACGGCTTGCGAGTCGTGGTGTCGTTGCTGAAATACGGCTTGTGGGTCGTGATGTTGCTTACATACGGCTTGCGAGTCGTGGTGTGTTGCTGAAATACGGCTTGCGAGTCGTGGTGTCGTTGCTGAAATACGGCTTGCGAGTCGTGGTGTCGTTGCTGAAATACGGCTTGCGAGTCGTGGTGTGTTGCTGAAATACGGCTTGCGATGAGTCGTTGTTTGTGAAGATCCGGGGAGAGTATAGGTGAGTGAGTGAGTATGGTTTTACGCCGCTTTTAGCAATATTCCAGCAATATCACGGCGGGGGACACCAGAAATGGGCTTCACACATTGTACCCATGTCGGGAATCGAACCCGGGTCTTCGGCGTGACGAGCGAACGCTTTAACCACCAGGCTACCCGACCGCCCCGTAGAGTATAGGTCCTCAGCAACCCATGTCTGTCGTGAGAAGCGACTATGCGTGTAGTAAGAGGCGACTAACGGCATCGGGCAGTCCCCGTCAGGCTCACTGATCGATGCTCATGATTTCAAGCCATTCGTGACTGGATGTCAAGCACTTGACTGTCTGGTCAAGCCTCGATTATTTACTGAACGTCGTCATATAGCAGGAATGTTGCTGAGTGTGGCGTTAAACATCAAATATAAGATATAGCTACGCGATAAATCGCGAAGAACGAGGCGTGGTTTATTTCACGATAAAACATTGTTCTCTCATGACGTCATTTCTGGAGATTCGAATATGCGCTCGAAACGTGATGACGTTATATATTGGACGACGTTATTTTAGATAGGGAAGTGTGTAGTGAGTTGTTCCCCATAGATTTAGCTGGGCTACACAGATAAACGCAGTGGCCGAATGATCGCATGCGAAAGTGGTAGAGATCTGACAATCGGTATTAGGAGTTGAAATGGACTTGTCCGACATAGCCGAGGTCAGATTCTAGTCAGGTAGTTATCATTATTAAATATTTGTAAAGCTAGTACATTCTATCGTCATCCTGACAATTTTTAATGTTGGCTGGTGTTGTACACAGCCACCGGTGGCTGGAGTGATGATGTAAACCCTGCTGGGGTAGCATGCAGGAAGCCGAGGTACTGTAAGTCCCCATGATCCCCAGCGAGGTGGCCTAGCTTTGTTTACTGGTGGCCTATAGCCCGTGTTTTATATTGTATTATATTGTTATGCTCAAATATGTATCATAAATTGTTTTTAAATAAAGTATGCATGAATTGATTTTAAATATTACTTTGCATAGATGACTCAATTGTTAACATATTAAACTTGGTCACGTCGCTATATGTCTGGAATAATGCCGATGCGACGTTAAATTTTAACTCACTCACTCACTCACTCACTATCGCCATCCTTTAAGAGGCTGTACATTATGTTGATGTCCCATGTAAGAAATAGACGACTCATGGTCGTTGCTTGTCGTACAATAAACCACTGAGGGTAGAATTAACCATGAGGGGCGCAGAAAATCGTATATGCACTGGTGCAAAAATATCACTTCGCCCACCAGTGTAATTGTTTACGTCGTCCGGGCGGCATTGTTGACGTCATTCGAATCTTATTATGACGTAAGGTTGAAATGACCTCACACCAGAAATGACGTCATAGCTGAAGAATATGGACGTCTTTCGACAATGATTTTCTTAAAAGGCGATCGTGATCAGTGCATTTTTTCTAAAGGAACTCGGAAAGGGATTAAGAAATAATGGGTAATAAAGAAATTATTACACTCGCATGTTTGTCACACTGAATTTACGAAACTCGTGTAAAATTCATGTTTTACTCTTGCTCTTGCTCAGGAAATACAGGAATTCTGACACTCGTTTTGTAAAGGTTTTATGAGACACGTGCTCGTATATAATGACGTTAACAGATGGTTATGACCCTGTCTGGTGTTCGGCTTTAGGGGCTAAACAAGGACAGGTCGGCTCGGAGTCAGATACTGTTTCAGAGTCCGGTATTCATGTTAAACTGCAGCATATACATGTATATATGGTATCTGAGTGAGCTAGCACTAGAAATCGGCATCAGTCCGGACAAGTACAAGCAGCCACACACACACACACACACACACATACACACACACGTCGCTATATAAGTGCAATAATCTTAACGCGACGTTAAACACGTACCTCACTGTAGATAATGATATTAATTGGTGAATGCTGCGTTAAACACCAAACAAACAAACTATCCCTTGGAAAGTGTTCCAGCTTCCATTCCCTACATACTTAACAGTTTTTTTACGTGCGAGCAATTTTTTGTGTCTTCTTATTTACTATTTACTTATTGTGAATGTGTTTTTACAAACGCTGAAAGAATATGTCTTTACAACAAGGAATGGGTACATTACAATTGATTCCAACTCATTCGCCAGTCGCGTTAAATGTTAAATAGTCACATTGAAGATGGGCCGTCATGATCATATAGCTGGAATATATTGCTGAGTGCGGCGTAAAATTAATCAACAAACAAACAAACATTGAAGACGGAGATTGTAAAAGCGTTTATACTCAGTTATATTTATGCTAAATCAAAAACAATATCTGTACTTCAGCTTTGACAATAAATAGTATATAGTTTTTCAATTTATTTCGTATAGGTCTAACCATTCACCAACACACTGATTGTTTTTCGAGTTCAAAGGATCAGCTATATAATCTAGGATATCCTATGTTTGTGGGGGTGCGTTTCACACTATCCCTTAATACTTATGCTGGCTCATATAACAACAAGCACAATGAGCGTTGTTTTATCTTTTAATCGCTACGCATGATCGTTCATGATCGTTCATGGGAAGTGAACCTCAGCTGTTCCTTGGCAGCGTGATAACAACTGAGCTGGATTTCCCAGGCTAGGGAACCTGTCAAAATCCCATTGGATGCTATTTATAGATTGTATTACTACACCGCATTTGAAGTTTTGTTAAGATACATAACATATGCATTTCTAAACTATTAAACAAGTATATATGAAGTTTTGTTATCAACCTCTAGCGTTTCAGAGTGCTTGAGTTGAAATAGCTTGCAGTTTCTTTACTTTACATGCGAACTATTTTGTGCATTAGTACTTCCGGGTTATAGTGGTCTGCCACCGCCACACATGTCAAACTTGCAAACATGGCAAAGATGGAGAAGTTGGCACTTGTGTTATTGCTACTTTTGGGAACTTCTGCACTGTTTGTAAAGTGCGATGACTTGGATGAAGACGAAACCCCCAAAGTACCAGGTACGTTGCGCACTGGCATGCATAATGACAGTGAATGCAGGCGGTAGATATCTTCTGCTTAACGAAGTACCCCTCTTCCAAAATTTGCCTAAGCGAACTTAAAATCATTTAAATCAATATTGCACAGAAGACTCATTCGAATGTTCGCCCATTCACACATTAAGTTACCAACTAAGAGACAGTCCATTGGTTGAATTATTTACTCAATTCATTTAGTCTATAAAGTATCGGATATACGAAACGTTAATTATTTATCCATATTTATTTTAATCCCATTTGTAATTTGTACACGTCATGATTTTTTTCACAAGTACGTCATGCTTAAATTTTTTTTTTTAGAAAATAGACCCTACGTCATGACACGGCGGTAGACATTGGCACTAGTCCTATAGTCCTTGCCAAACTGCCCAATAGTTAAGGTATCATATGCACTAGTAGAAATTTGCCCCTTTTTTAGGGTTTTGTTATATGTTATCATTATAAGGACAGTGGATGAAAACTGTTTGTTTCTAACGATGTGACAGCATTGTCACGTATGCATGTTTTTGTTTTCATAATTTTCATGGTTATTTATTAAGATAACATTACAATAAGTTTACATTTATTAAAACAGAATTTCTTTTATATATTTTTTTTCTTGCCCAACTGCCAGCCACGGTTGTCTAATTACATTCCTCATCTACATTATTTCAGAGGAGGAGTCAGATGAGGGAACCGACAAGGATGGCGTTCTTGAGGAGGAGGATGTCCTGGTGTTAACCAGTGCTAATTTTGATAAAGTTATCAACTCAGAAGACATCATTTTGGTGGAGTTTTATGCTCCTTGGTAAGGAATGAGTTCTTATTATCCATAGCTCTGGTGTTGACCGTGTTAACCATAAACTCATTCTAAGTGAGACCCGTGAAGATTCCGGGGTAGAATAGGTCTTCAGCAACGCATGCTTGTCGTAAAAGGCGACTATGCTTGTCGTAAAAGGCGACTAACGGGATAGGGTGGTCAGGCTCGCTGACTTGGTTGATGCATGTCATCGATCCCAATTGCGTGGATCGATGCTCATGATATTAATCACTGGATTGTCTGGTCCAGACTCGATTATTTGCAGACTGCCGCCATATAGGTGGAATATTGCTGAGTGCGGCGTTAAACAACCAACCAACCAACCAACCAACCAACCAACCATTCTAAGTGAAATTTGTTCTTCCATCATGCTCATTATCAATCCTGTCTCAGAGTATTTTCTTTGTCGCTTAGTTTCGATTATGATTTAAAAATTTGCAAACCAGGGTTGAATGAGGTAGGGGTTGATAAGGCACATCTTTGGGTGGCCCTGGCCGGGTTCTTATTTCATACCTCTGCAAAGCAAATGGTGAATTAAGAGTTGCCTCCCCTTTAATGTTTTGAATAACACCCATTTGTTGCATAAGAATGAGAAGTGTGACACCATCAAAACTGCTGACTTGATAGTGCACACGTCTGACTTGTACACCTGTCAGAACAGTCTATCGTCATTCAGAATTTTGGTGCTTGTGTCATGATTAAAAGGAAGAGTAAAATTGTGTAAACATTATAATTTGACAAACAGTCATGTTTTATGCACAGGTTTCAAACTTGCAATTATCTTTTTAGTTAATTATGCTATATCGATATATCGATAGTCCAGTCAGAGAACGTTTCACAAAACCACCATCCCATTTGCTGAAAACATGCAGGTTTCAGAATTTGCACTGAACGTCTTTTAACACTTAAGCAAAACAAGTATTTTTTCTAGTAAGTATTTACAATTTTGAAATCAAGTCGCCCAAGTCCTGTGCATGTAAGCAGTATGATGGTGAGATCAGTCATACCCAGAACTGGTATAAACATTCATATGAAAGTGATTTACCACTGCCTGTCCTTGTTGATATGAATATGTCTTTTCCTTCATCTGTCTTTCCCCCTCAACGATTTTCTTTGTTTGTCTGTCATGGATGAAATAGCTAATGTTTTCTTTATCTGATTGACCAAGTCTTTGTCTGTGGCAGTTGCAATACGAGCCAAGAACAGTGATCTGATTGGATATCAGTGTGTTCATTACAAGGAGCACAACTCTTCATCTATGAGGTGGTGCCATGATTGAGAAAATTGCGCTTGATGTGGCAAGGGTAGAAAGTAGGCTATGATATAGGCTTAGTGGACAGGCTTGCCTCAGGAAGATGTTTTTAATCAAGCATAACTTTGAGCAGTACCCTGTCAAATAATCCGTGTAAAATCCGGGGGTACGGGTGGCCCAGTTATCTAAGGCGCGACAATTCACTGTGCAGAGTTGCGTCCCTATGATTGTGGGTTAGAATCCCCGTTCCCCCCGATTATGTTTCTAGGTTTGGCAGCACTGTACCCATACTCGTGGGTTTCACCAAATTTGTAAACGTCTGACATCTGCATTACTTTGGGCTTTCCTCCCACATTAAACCGACACGCTGTGATATAACTGGAATGTTAAACCCAACTCACTCACTCACTCAGTGTAAAACCCATTTCACCTCACCCAAGTGCATGTTCTGTTCAATGACTGGGGGCACGGGTGGCCCAGTCGTCTAAGGCGCCGCGATTCGCTGTGCAGAGTTGCGTCCCTTGGGCACGCCAGAAACCTATGATTGTGGGTTCGAATCCCGGTTCGCCCCGATTATGTTTCTAGGTTTGTCAGCACAATACCCGTGCTCGTGGGTTTCACCGAAGTGGTAAACGTCTGAGACCTGCATCACTTCGGGCTTTCCTCCCACATTAAGCTGGCACGCCGTGATATAACTGGAATACTGTTAAAAGCGGCGTTAAACCCAACTCACTCACTCAGTGTAAAACCCGTTTCACCTCACCCAAGTGCATGTTCTGTTCAATGACCAATGTTTCAGGTGTGGACATTGTAAGAGTCTGGCACCCAAGTATGCCAGCGCTGCCAAGACACTGAAGGACCATGATCCTCCAATTCCCCTCGCAAAGGTCGACGCCACTGAGAACGAGGATCTGGGTACAAGGTCAGTACTGAGTTTCCACTAAAAGTGTTGCTTGGGTTGGTAATTTCAAGGACTGTTAGTCCCTGTGTAGGGTAGAATAATGGTATACTTGTAGCCATTATCTGACCTGGATTACAGCAACAGCCTCTTGGGGCATCATGGGGAATTTATGTAAAAATAATGCGAATCCAGTACTGATTTGTGTGGTAACACCATTGTGACACCATTACATGGACACAGTTATCTCCCTTGGGCTATAGAAGCAATTTGGCTTTGCACTAGGCTTTATGGTCTGTTTTACAACAGCTAGTCGTAGCCTGGTATATTTGTGTCAAAATAGCAACTTAGGCTTAAAAGAATAAGAATTGGTTCTCAGGCAGTGGCTTTTGAAAATATAGTGCAGATGGGTGGTGTGTTTTTGTTGTTTTAGGGGGAGGGGGGTGTTAAAACTACTATGTAACCTCATAAACAGTTGTGTAAAATCAATCTGGGAAAGGGCCTCCCTACATAAATGTATTCCTTCATGAGTAAAATACTGGAATACAGTATTTGAATACCATTGGACTGGGAATATATGAGAATTTTTTGTTTTTCTTAAAAATGGAAATAAAAAACAAAATGTGCAGCGAACTTTATGTTGATGCAGGAGGTGCCTGAGAACCAAGCCTGTTATTTTTTAGCCTTATCTGACATAACACACAGGTCTTGGTGACAAGGGTATGATTGCCCTGACTGATGCTGTCATGTATGATTTTCCCACAGATTTGAGGTGTCAGGTTATCCTACTCTGAAGTTCTTCAAGGATGGCCAGGCCTTTGATTACGAGGGGGGAAGGACTGAGTTTGGTAAGTGCTGTGCTGCCATGTCTGCAGCTGATGTGACGTCAGTAACCCTGTAGACCCGTGAAGATCCGGGGTAGAATAGGTCTTCAGCAACCCTTGCTTGCCGTAAAAAGCAACTACACTTGTCGTTAAAGGCGACTAAGGGGATCGAGTGGTCAGGTTAGCTGACTTGGTTGAAGCATGTCATTGTATCCCGATTGCGTGGATCGATGTTCATGACATCAATCACTGGATTGTCTGGTCCAGACTCGATTATTATCAGACCGCCATCATATACATGTAGCTGGAATATTGTGTTAATGTTTAACAAACAAACAAGAGCAAACTATGAAGTTTGTCTTAATTAGTGCTAAAAATTAAAATTAAAGAACACCAGGGCTGTGGGCAGTCTATGACAACTTAACATTGTGCACCATCATCGGCAGGAACTGTGCCATTGTTGAGAATCTAAAGGAATCTCACATTTAATTGATGTGTAACAAAACAGTGTGGTTCCGATTTGTTCATGTCGATAAGGGACGACCCCTGCTGTCATGCTGAATGTTGCTAAAAGTGGCATAAAACTGTGCTCACTCATGTCGATAAGGGACGTCCTCCTGCCGTCATGCTGAATAATACTAAAAGTGGTGTAAAACTATGCTCACTCACTTATGTCAATATTATTTAGAGTTACCAGGTTTTTTATCAATAAACATTCACACTTGGTCTGCTTTGAATTCTGTGTTCACTCAAACAGGGGATTTGTCCGATTCTAATGTAGCAAAGTATCGAAGCAAAGTAAGAGATCTGATGATGTTGAGATTGCTTTCTGCCACCAGATATTGTGAACTATATGAAGGAGAGAGCTGACCCACTGTGGCGGCCACCGCCCGATGCTGTCATGACGCTGACCAGTGACAACTTCACCGAGGTCGTCAACAGAGAGGAACTCATCCTGGTGGAGTTCTATGCCCCATGGTAAGTTCTACACTACACTAGACGACACGACACGACACTACGCTACGCTGCACTACACTACACTACACTGTGCTACACGACACGGCACTACACTGCTACATGACACGACACTACAGTACACTGTGCTACACTACACTACACTCTGCTACACTACACTACACGATACTACACTGTGCTTCACTACATTACACTACACTGTGCTACACTACACTACACTACACTGTGCTACACTACACTGCACTGTGCTACACTACACTACACTACACTATGCTATACTACACTACACTACACTACACTGTGCTACACTACACTACACTGTGCTACACTACACTACACTGTGCTACACTACACTACACTATGCTACACTACACTACACTGCTACACTGTGCTACACTACACTACACTACACTACACTACACTACACTGTGCTACACTACACTACACTACACTGTGCTACACGACATGACACTACACTACACTGCTACACTACACTACACTACACTGTGCTACACTACACTCTGCTACACTACACTACATTCTGCTACACTACACGACACTAAACTGTGCTACACTACATTACACTACACTACACTGTGCTACACTACACTACACTACACTGTGCTACACTACACTACACTACACTGTGCTACACTACACTACACTACACTACACTAGCAGGAAACTTATTACCAGCATAAATATAACCATCTTCAAGATTGGTTGGTGGGTTTGTTGTTGTAAGCAATATTCAACCAAGTCGGCGAGCCTGACCCCCGTTAGTTGCCTCTTACGACAAGTATAGTCGCCTTTTTACGGCAAGAATGGGTTGCTGAAGATCTATTCTACTCTGGATCTTCATGAGTTACCATCTTCACGAGGCAAGAGCTTCCAGTAGCCTTTATATTAATGTCTTGTTTCCACCCTTGCCACATCAAGCCCACTTTTATTGTGCTAAATATGATTGGACTGTCGCACATGTCGATAGTCCAATTTGACAGCATTTCACAAAATCATCATCAACGACTGGTACACCTTCATCTGAAAGTGATTTATAGCTGCCTGTCTGTTGACATGAATATGTCTTTTTCATCTTTTAAACCCCCCAATGATTGCCTATGTTATTTTGTCAGGGATAAAATCGCGAATGTTTTCGTTATCTAATCGATGAGGTCGTCCCCAATGGTAGTCGCCATTTTTGTGAAGCTGTACAAGATGTGAAGACCTGCATCACTTCGGGCTTTCCTCCCGCATTAAGCTGACATGCCGCGATGTAACTGTAATACTGTTAAAAGCTCACTCACTCGCTCATTGTGGGGCAGGACCGAACCACTAGATACTCCTGCTGCCGGTCACCTATCCAAGATCTCTCCATTGCCCCGGCGTTGCTTAAAAAACATATTATAGGTCATAAACAAACATGGAAATGAGTTCCTATACAATGCTTAATATAGTGACCCTGGGGTAGAATATCTGGGGTAGAATAGGTCTTCAACAACCCATGCTTGCCGTAAAAGGTGACTATGCTTGTCATAAGACACGCCGCGTTATAACTGGAATATTGTTAAAAGCGGCGTTGAACCCAATTCACTCACTCACCCACCCAATTTAGTTGTGGTGGGAGAATGTGGTCCCAGTACCTCATGGTTGTTGTAACAGCTGAATTATTGATTTGATTAGCAATGCTGTCATGCACTATATTTTCAAAAGTCAGAACCGATTCTTTATTGATTTAAGCCTTGTCTGCTTATGGTGCGGGTTTTTTACATTTTCGTCAACGGTAATGTTTCAGGTGTGGACACTGTAAGCGCCTGGCCCCCGAGTATGAGAAGGCTGCCAAGACACTGAAGCAGCGCCAACCTCCGATCCCCCTGGCCAAGGTGGATGCAACAGTCAGCGCCGAGCTGGCCAAGGAGTACGGAGTGTCAGGATACCCCACCCTGAAGATGTTCCGTAAAGGTCGGGTGTCCGAGTACAAGGGAGAGCGGGAGGAACGAGGTGAGGCTGGCAAGGGGGGTGAAGTTGGCATTTGTGTACGCTGCTCATGAAGATGTGGGGATATCAGTTTACAGTCTGTCCCCAGCATCTTTGCTGGTTGTGTAGCAGGGCGTGGAGTCATCCCACAGATGACATCCTTACCTTGTCAGCTTGCTGATGGGGTTAACCTCTTTGGTCATGTGGACAAAGTGTCCGACCTCTGATCAGAAGGTCCATGGATTTCGAATCCAATCACGGGACTTGGAAATTTTATGGCCCAACGTTGGGCGCAAATGTAGAGGCCCGTTGGCAAGCTGACAAGGTAAGGATGTCATCTGTGGGATGACTCCACGCCTTGCTACACTGACAAGGTAAGGATGTCATCTGTGGGATGACTCCACGCCTTGCTACACTGACAAGTAAGGATGTCATCTGTGGGATGACTCCACGCCTTGCTACACTGACAAGGTAAGGATGTCATCTGTGGGATGACTCCACGCCTTGCTACACTGACAAGGTAAGGATGTCATCTGTGGGATGACTCCACACCTTGCTACACTGACAAGGTAAGGATGTCATCTGTGGGATGACTCCACGCCTTGCTACACTGACAAGTCAGGATGTCATCTGTGGGATGACTCCACGCCTTGCTACACTGACAAGGTAAGGATGTCATCTGTGGGATGACTCCATGCCTTGCTACACTGACAAGGTAAGGATGTCATCTGTGGGATGACTCCACGCCTTGCTACACTGACAAGTCAGGATGTCATCTGTGGGATGACTCCACGCCTTGCTACACTGACAAGGTAAGGATGTCATCTGTGGGATGACTCCATGCCTTGCTACACTGACAAGGTAAGGATGTCATCTGTGGGATGACTTCACGCCCTGCTACACTGACAAGGTAAGGATGTCATCTGTAGAATGACTCCACGCCTTGCTACACTGACAAGGTAAGGATGTCATCTGTGGGATGACTCCACGCCTTGCTACAGTGACAAGGTAAGGATGTCATCTGTGGGATGACTCCATGCCCTGCTACACTGACAAGGTAAGGATGTCATCTGTGGGATGACTCCATGCCTTGCTACACTGACAAGGTAAGGATGTCATCTGTGGGATGACTCCACGCCTTGCTACACTGACAAGGTAAGGATGTCATCTGTGGGATGACTCCATGCCTTGCTACACTGACAAGGTAAGGATGTCATCTGTGGGATGACTCCACGCCTTGCTACAGTGACAAGGTAAGGATGTCATCTGTGGGATGACTCCACGCCTTGCTACAGTGACAAGGTAAGGATGTCATCTGTGGGATGACTCCATGCCCTGCTACAGTGACAAGGTAAGGATGTCATCTGTGGGATGACTCCACGCCTTGCTACACTGACAAGGTAAGGATGTCATCTGTGGGATGACTCCATGCCTTGCTACAGTGACAAGGTAAGGATGTCATCTGTGGGATGACTCCATGCCCTGCTACACTGACAAGGTAAGGATGTCATCTGTGGGATGACTCCATGCCCTGCTACACTGACAAGGTAAGGATGTCATCTGTGGGATGACTCCATGCCTTGCTACACTGACAAGGTAAGGATGTCATCTGTGGGATGACTCCACGCCTTGCTACAGTTGTACGAGGTGATTGGGTTGTAAGACTCAGTCACTTGGTTGATTGTGCAGTTGTGTCATCATACCCAGATTGATCATCGCTCAATCACTGGTTTGTTTGGGTGAGTGAGTGAGTATGGTTTAACGCCGCTTTTAGCACTATTCCAGCAATATCACGGCGGGGGACACCAGAAATGGGCTTCACACATTCTACACATGTCGGGAATCGAACCTGGGTCTTCGGCGTGACGAGTTAACGCTTTAACCACTAGGCTACCCGACTGTCCCGGTTTGTTTGGTCTAGATAGGATTATTTAGAGATTCAGTGGTTTTATTGGGCGTCATCATACCCCAAATGCATACATCACAAAAGTAGTCACTGGATTGTCTGGTCCTGGCTTGACAGGCTGCCTTCATACAGTGGAATGTTGCTGAGTGTTTTAGATGTGAGACAAACAACTGAAACAGCTTGTGTTTTCATCAGCGGTTTACCTGGTCCTGGCTCCGGAATTTCCAGGCAGCCATGGTGAAGTAATTGTGGCGATACTTGACATTCACTCACTCACTCACCCTATCCATAGTGTGGAATCGGTGAAGTTCAATCTGTACATGCTGTCATGCGAAACATGAAACGTTCTTTCACGATCGCCGAAATTATTGTGTCCTATAAGCATACAAATTGAGAATGGACTCAAATAATTTACATGCAGAAACATAACATATAACCAAGTCATTAAATTTATCTGTCTTGTAGGTTGTATGTTACATACAACTGACATTTCTGTTCTGGTAAGACGTCCAGTTGAGGGTATCAGTGATTGATTTAACTTCTTGAAGTCCCCATCTATACATAGACGGATCCTGATGGGAGATGCAGAGGGTCAGGCCCCCCCCCATCCTTGAAACCCAGATGTAGTATGTTGTAGGAAAATAACCTGAGAGAGGATTGAGAGCCCGACCTTTTAAAATTGTAGGAACCACCCTTGCTATAAAAGACTTGAGGCTTCTAAGTATGAGCAGCGATATGACATGATGCTTCTTGGACAGAAAGTAAATCGTGTCAGTGTCGCCTGCCATGGCTCCCATCTTCATGCCTTGGACCCCAACAATGTATTACTGAGAGTCCCCAGGACTGAAAACTAGATGGACCCATGTAAATCCCTTCTAAAACCTTAGGGAACCAGTTTTACTCGTATTTTAATACAAGGCTTCATTTCCATTGATCCAGTCTCAATATTGCTGAGAATCTCCTATTGCTGAAACGTTGTTGACTTCCTCTCCCCCAGGCATTGTGGGATACATGATCCAGCATCAGGGCGAGGCAGCCAAGGAGCTCGAATCTGACAAAGCAGTTCGCAACTACATGAGTGACGACGACATCAGCATCATCGCCTTCTTCAGCAGCAAGGACGACCCTAGACTCCAGATGTACATGGATGCAGGTCAGTGTGTGATGGCATTGTCACGATACACGTAGTCACAATACACGTAGTCACAATACACGTAGTCACGATACACGTAGTCACGATACACGTAGTCACGATACACGTAGTCACAATACACGTAGTCACAATACACGTAGCCACAATACACGTAGTCACGATACACGTAGCCACAATACACGTAGTCACGATACACGTAGTCACAATACACGTAGTCACGATACACGTAGCCACAATACACGTAGTCACGATACACGTAGCCACAATACACGTAGTCACGATACACGTAGTCACAATACACGTAGTCACGATACACGTAGTCACGATACACGTAGTCACGATACACGTAGTCACGATACACAGTCACGATACACGTAGTCACGATACATGATACACATAGTCACCATACACGTAGTCACGATATACATAGTCACGATACATGTAGTCTAGATACATATATTCATGATACACAGTCACGATACACGTAGTCACGATACATGATACACATAGTCACCATACACGTAGTTACGATATACATAGTCACGATACATGTAGTCTAGATACATATATTCATGATACACAGTCACGATACACGTAGTCATGATACATGTGGCATGTTTAGTCACGATACACTTAGATATTCTTTGTCACTTTACACTTAGTCCCAATACTTCTTGTCACACTTTCTGATGCTCAGCACATAGGGAATTAAACCAAGACTGGAGTCAGTATACTGTGTGGGAGGAGGGCATGCACCTCATTCAAGTGCAGTAATCTTGCATTGTAATGTGCAGAATGTGGAATGGGGTCTCTTACTGTGTGTGTGTCAACCCTCGTTTATGTTGTATGTGTCTTGTTTTAGCCAATGATATGCGGGATGACTTCAACTTCGCCTTCACGTTGTCGAGCGAGGCCAGGAATCGCTACAAGGTGAACCCAGGCTCCGTGGTGGTCTTCAATGCCGAGAGATACTACACCAAGTTCGAACCAAAGTGGCACATTCTCAACAAGGTAAGCAGTTATCCCCCTTAGATAGAAATTCCTGTTTGAAAACCAACTATTTTTATGATATGTTGCAGCATCAGCTAAAATTTAAAAAAAAAATATTTACATTACGAATTTTGTTTGAGGTAACACTTTGATTTTGTATGCCAAAGACCTGGGTTCTATTCCCCACATTGGTATATTGTGTGGATTTGTGGTGTACACCCTGAAATGTCTCGAACATGTGAAGTCTCAAACACTCACGTGGACATGATGAAGTTCGATCAGTGTGTCTAACTGTGCTTCACATTTAGTGTTCAGTGGCAGCTTTTGGCCGACTGTATATTGAAAGGAACCACCTCGATTAATGAGGGACCTGCTACAAATCATGATAATCTTACCTACACAAGCCTGAAAAAATTGCTTGCTCCAATCTTGCATAAAATCAATCAGGCACCAAAAGAAGACTTGTGCTTGATGTATTGGTGTGGCAAATGATTTTCTGCAGTTGATGCCTTAGAGGCAAATTTAACTTCTGTCTCTGAAGTAATATTGTAACAATTAACAGTATGAACAATTTGATGGAATTGTGAAGAATTATTTTCTTATAGTTTATTGCACTCCTTCAGTTGCATGGGGATTATGGTGCTGCTCAGGTCCCTAGGGCCCTGTCCAACGGACCGATCTCAGCGCAAAGACAATCATAACTCCCATATCTAGACATAGACCTAAGACAATTGTCGCATTATGATCACTTTGCGTCTGTAATAAGATTGGACAGATGAGACTTGAGTCTTGAGACTTGTGATGTGTCAGCAGTAGATTGGTTACGGTTTTGGTGTCAAGAGTCAATTATTGAGACTTTTTGTTGGTCCAGTTTAAACCCAGTATGTCATCATCGCTATTTTCAGGAGGAACTGACGTCCGAGGATGTCTCAGAGTTTGTGAAGGCACATCAAGTTCCACTTGTCGGCACATACGACAGGTCAACAGAAAGACGCTACGACACCCTCAAACCACTGTGCTTTGTCTTCTACACAGTTGACTGGAGCTTTGACGGCAGAGAGGGTGTGTTGCCTTGGATGTTGTTTACAGACTCAAATATAGAGGCTCCTCGATGTGTTTGACTGGCGAAAGAATGATAGTTTTAGGATGATACTCTGCTTTCCATCAGGAGATGAAACAAGGACTGGACGGCTCTGAGTCGCCATGTTAGGTAGCCATGTTAAACTAGGGCATGGTATCTTGGTGGACTAGCACTATAAAACCGACATGAGTTCGGAGTAGTACAAGCAGCCACACACACTTGTATGTTTGATGCTATTTTAGAGCAATCGTCACGATATGGCTGAAATATTGCCGATGTGACGTAAAGCATAAACTCACTCACTCACTATTTTAGCGCAATAATCTTAAACCCCGATCCAACGACCTCTAAGACCTGCGACACTTTGGGCTGTCCTTCCACAACACAGCTTGATCATTTGTTATTTGGGGGGGAGGGGGTGGAGGCACCTAAGATTTTTTAATTATTTCATTTGTTATAGAAGAAAATCGACTGGGCCCACGCCACATCCACATCCACACCAACACCGGGGGCATGGCGTGGGTTTAACCAAAGTGGTAAATGTCTTAGACCTGCATCACTTTGGGCTTTCCTCCCACATTAAGCTGACATGCCGTGATATAACTGGAATAATGTTAAAAGCGGCGTTAAACCCAACTCACTCACTCACTCCACACCCACACCACATCCACAACATACCCACCAACCCCGCACCACACCACACCACACCACACCACACCACACCACATCCACAACATACCCACCCACCCCGCACCACCACACCACACCACACCACACCACACCACACCACACCACACCACACACCCACACCCACACCCAAACCACACTTCTACCAGGAAATTAGATGTTTGTCCCTTAAGCTCAAGCTGTCTGTATCGTTCACACTACCCCCGTGTCATAACTGACATTTCCTGTTATTTATTTCATGGCATTGAGAGTGGGAGAAGTATCTTTGCGAGAAAGTAAACAAACCAAATTGGTTGTTTAGTTTCAGTCCCTGTCCATATTTTGTAACAATAACATGATTCTATTTCTTGCTCTTCAGCCACACAAATATGGAGGAGGAAAATGGCTGATATCGCCAAGGATTACAAGAATGAGATCTACTTTGTTATTGCTAACGAGGAGAGCAACGACGCTCTGATCAAGGACTTCCAGTTTGAAGAGTCAGGCGAAGAGATGAACATCGGTATTGTCGACGGCAAGCAGAAGAAGTACCCAATGGAAACATTCGAAGACTTTGATGCTGATGACATTAGAGAATTCTTGAACAATTACAAGAAAGGTAAAGCTGTATGTGCAGTATAGACAAGGCTGTCTCTCTAACCTGTCAGAGGAAAGTCGGTCCTTGCTGAACTTTCTCATGTGTCATTCATATCTACCAGTATCTCCTGTGTTTCTCCTTGTGTGGTTCCAGGGTAGAATAGGTCCCCAGTATCTCCTGTGTTTCTCCCTGTGTGGTTCCAGGGCAGAATAGGTCCCCAGTATCTCCTGTGTTTCTCCCTGTGTGGTTCCAGGGCAGAATAGGTCCCCAGTACCTCATGTGTTTCTCCCTGTGTGGTTCCAGGGCAGAATAGGTCCCCAGTATCTCAAGTGTTTCTCCCTGTGTGGTTCCAGGGCAGAATAGGTCCCCAGTATCTCATGTGTTTCTCCCTGTGTGGTTCCAGGGCAGAATAGGTCCCCAGTATCTCATGTGTTTCTCCCTGTGTGGTTCCAGGGCAGGATAGGTCCCCAGTATCTCCTGTGTTTTTCCCTGTGTGGTTCCAGGGCAGAATAGGTCCCCAGTACCTCATGTGTTTCTCCCTGTGTGGTTCCAGGGCAGAATAGGTCCCCAGTATCGCATGTATTTCTCCCTGTGTGGTTCTAGGGCAGAATAGGTCCCCAGTATCGCATGTATTTCTCCCTTTTGAGTTCCAGGACAGAATAGCCCCCAGTATCTCATGTGTTTCTCCCTGTGTGGTTCCAGGGCAGAATAGGTCCCCAGTATCGCATGTATTTCTCCCTTTTGAGTTCCAGGACAGAATAGCCCCCAGTACCTCCTGTGTTTCTCCCTGTGTGGTTCCAGGGCAGAATAGGTCCCCAGTACCTCATGTGTTTCACCCTGTGTGGTTCCAGGGCAGAATAGGTCCCCAGTACCTCCTGTGTTTCTCCCTGTGTGGTTCCAGGGCAGAATAGGTCCCCAGTATCTCATGTGTTTCACCCTGTGTGGTTCCAGGGCAGAATAGGTCCCCAGTACCTCATGTGGATTCTCCCTGTGTGGTTCCGAGCAGAATAGGTCCCCAGTACCTCATGTGTTTCTCCCTGTGTGGTTCCAGGGCAGAATAGGTCCCCAGTATCTTATGTGTTTCTCCCTGTATGGTTCCAGGACAGAATAGTCCCCAGTACCTCCTGTGTTTCTCCCTGTGTGGTTCCAGGGCAGAATAGGTCCCCAGTACCTCATGTGTTTCACCCTGTGTGGTTCCAGGGCAGAATAGGTCCCCAGTACCTCCTGTGTTTCTCCCTGTGTGGTTCCAGGGCAGAATAGGTCCCCAGTATCTCATGTGTTTCACCCTGTGTGGTTCCAGGGCAGAATAGGTCCCCAGTACCTCATGTGGATTCTCCCTGTGTGGTTCCGAGCAGAATAGGTCCCCAGTACCTCATGTGTTTCTCCCTGTGTGGTTCCAGGGCAGAATAGGTCCCCAGTATCTCCTGTGTTTCTCCCTGTATGGTTCCAGGGCAGAATAGGTCCCCAGTATCTCCTGTGTTTCTCCCTGTGTGGTTCCAGGGCAGAATAGGTCCCCAGTATCTCCTGTGTTTCTCCCTGTGTGGTTCCAGGGCAGAATAGGTCCCCAGTATCTTATGTGTTTCTCCCTGTGTGGTTCTAGGGTAGAATAGGTCCCCAGTACCTTATGTGTTTCTCCCTGTGTGGTTCCAGGGCAGAATAGGTCCCCAGTATCTCCTGTGTTTCTCCCTGTGTGGTTCCAGGGCAGAATAGGTCCCCAGTATCTCCTGTGTTTCTCCCTGTGTGGTTCCAGGGTAGAATAGGTCCCCAGTACCTTATGTGTTTCTCCTTGTGTGGTTCCAGGGCAGAATAGGTCCCCAGTATCTCCTGTGTTTCTCCTTGTGTGGTTCCAGGGTAGAATAGGTCCCCAGTATCTCCTGTGTTTCTCCCTGTGTGGTTCCAGGGCAGAATAGGTCCCCAGTATCTCCTGTGTTTCTCCCTGTGTGGTTCCAGGGCAGAACACAGGGTTTCCAAGATCCAATTTGGCATGAGGGAGTATAAATCCTGTTTAGCGTGATGATCAAACTTTTCCGGTATTTAAGGAAGCTGTTGTTTGCAAAACCATGTTGGTGAATAAACACAAGCATGGTTCAGTGTTCAGTGTTTCTGCCACATAAAAAAAATTGGTAATAATAAAACTGTTTTACCTTACCTGATGCTACACAGTCCTATAGGTGTATCGTCAGGTAAGTAATATAACATGTCATTTAATCATTAATGCTCATTATTCATAAACAGCATGTTTGTTTGTTTGTTCAGGCAAGGTCAACCCAATCGTCAAATCTCAGCCAATTCCAAAGAAACAGGGGCCTGTCATCACTGTTGTCGGTAAGACCTTTGACAAGATTGTCCGAGACAACAACAAAGATGTCCTCATCGAGTTCTACGCCCCCTGGTGCGGACATTGTAAAAGTCTCGAACCAAAGTACAAGGAGCTCGCCAAGAAGTACAAGTCTACAAAGAAACTTGTCATTGCAAAGATGGATGCCACAGCTAATGACGTGCCGGAAGACTTCAAGGTTGAAGGATTTCCTACTCTATTTTTTGTTCGATCTGGAGATTCAAAGCCGGTGAAGTACGAGGAGGGGCGCGAGGTTGAAGACTTCAGTAAATATCTTGAAGAAAATGCCTCTTCTCTTGGTAAAAAGGCCAAAGAAGAATTGTAACATTTTAGATTATTTTATTCATTTAATTCATTCAATTCATATCATGAACATTTTGTGAATGTGAGAATCTTATTTTGCGAGGGACCACTTTGTTTTAATATAAACAATTTCTTTGTTTTGGGTTGACCAATCTATGTGCTGTTACCATGGTTACATGAATGATGTTAATGACATTATGTAATGAGGTTGAATTTCACGGTATGATGTTTTACTCCGATGTATGAATCTTAATGTAACAGTATTGATGTTTACTTTATGCGTTGTAAATGAGAAATACACACATGGATATGTACGAAACAGAAAATAGTTTTGTTTCCTTGACATCTGTTGCATGGGTGAGATTTGATTTTCATTGTTGATTGAATCATGCAGGTACTGTCTGCTTTCATCAGTGTTTGATTAATATTCTTGGTAAATAGTGACAAACTTGACAATAACCATTATATTTGAAATCAAATTGGCTCAACTGACTCGTGGAAAAATGTGAACTGTCAGGTCTTGTTATCTCCTAATATCCGATGGGTTCGAATCCTGGTTTGCCCCGATTATGTTTCAAGGTTTGTCAGCACCATACACGTGGATTTCACCAAAGTGGTAACCGTCTGAGACCTGCATGACTTCCAGCTTTCCTCCCACATTAAACTGACATGCTGTGATATAACTTGACTACTGTTGAAAGCGGCGTTAAACCCTACTCACTCATTCCGATCAGATCTTTTACTCCATTGCGATGACATACACCGTGAAGATCTGAGGTCGTGTCAGGTGAACATTCTAAAATGCCAATCAGCTTCAAATCTGGTACTTTTTTCAGTATGGGAAAACGAAGTGTTCTAACCACCGTATCTGATATCTGTATTTTGAAAGTTTTTGTGTGAAACCAATTATTTTTGTACAGCACTTGTCCTACTGGCTGTTAGAATTGTTTGGTGTACCATCATGTGACCGAGATTCTTGTCCAGAAGTTCAGATTAAGAAGACATATTGAAATGGTGTTCTGAGATTCGGTAGTGTTGACCTCCAAGAGATTCTTTGCCCTGATTGGTTACTTCTATACCAAATTCTTCGTGTGAGAGGTCACATGTTACTGTCAAGGAGAGTATGCATCCAATGAAAGTCATCTCAAGAAATTATGCATGTGGTTCTCCCACAAAGTGCCTTACTTGATTCACCATGGTAACCATGGTGACCCAGTTACCTTGTGTTTGTATGTCTGTAGTGTGAATAGTGCTGTCTGACACTAAATATTCACTCACTCACTCAGCCTGCTTGGCTAATGAAGAATTTGTGTTGATTTTTACTGCTGATACATCCACTGGAATTGAAAGTCTTATCACATCCCTCTTTTTTTCGATAATACACCCTTTTCCAAAAAAGTTATTTTTATGTAAAAAGGAGTGTTTGATTTAAAAAAAAATCCAATTTCTTTATTTTAATCACAGCTTTGGATTCCTGTGCTTCCACCGTTGACTCATCTTCACCACATGCAGCTTTAGTGCTAGGGAATACTGTGCGGAGGTTTATGTGAGATTCTCCTTGTTGCGAATTAACTGACAGTAGGTCATGTGACCCATCGTGATCTATAGTGCAAGTCATGTGACACTGCCTCCATCACTTGTGATAATTTGTGTACTTAATGCATTGGAACTACAAACATTCTTCACTTGCAACATTTATTGTTATAGTCGTGGTACTTCTGTTATTTCTTTTTGAGAATAATAATCAATAATTGAATTGTCTTGAGTATAAATTTTAGTCATTTCGCCTCAGGTTTTACCACCATCGTAAAATAAATGTCATGTGGGTCTCCCCACCCAAGCGTTTTCTAGTTTCTCAGAGAAAAACTGTGAAGTGTCTCCCAAGACATATTCTGTCACTGACAAGTATTCCATCCCTCCTTACAATATTGTCGTAAAAGGCGACTGACAGGATCAGGTGGTCAGACTCGCTGACTTGGTTTTGAATGTCATCATATCCCAATTGCGTGGATCGATGCTGGTGATGTCAATCACTGGCTTGTTGATTATTTACAGACCACCGTCATATAGTAAACATTATTGTGCTGATTTTGTAGTCACTTCTTTTCTTTTTTCTTTTTACATGTAATGTATTTTGTGAAGGGGAATTCCATTGTGACATAGTCAGGTCAGTGTCACGTGATATCCTCCAGCCTGCGGGTACTGCTCAGTGGCTACCTTTAACCCATGATGATCCGTTATCCCTCAGAACTTCATTGCCATGATCGAGAGTTTCGAATCCTATTGTGTTTTTAGGATTGTCAGTGCCATACCTGTTGTCGTGGGTTTTATCAAAGCGTTAGATGTCTTAAACCGTCATCTCGTTTGGCTTTCAAGCTGACGTGATATAACTGGAATATTGTGCAAAATGGCGTTCAACCAATATCACTCACAGAGCTTCGGTTCTGTTGGGTTTTTTTAGTGTGTGAAAGTGTGCCTGTGTCAGTTTGGGATTTCCTGCTATTCTTTATTGAAATGATATCACTGAAATACTGTTTTAAAAGCAAAGAAAGCTCAACATGTTCTTGTTAATAAGGGCGGCCTGGTAGCCTAGTGGTTAAAGCGCTCGCTCGTCACGCTGAAGACCCGGGTTTGATTCCCGACATGGGTACAATGTGTGAAGCCCATTTCTGGTGTCCCCTGCCGTGAAATTGCTGGAATAATGCTAAAAGCGGCTTAAAACAACACTCACTCACTCACTCTTGTTAATAAGCAACTGTATCCCCATCTTGTTTTGTGTTGATATAAACTCTTCCTGGTAAATGCTTGGTATTACAGGAAGTGATTGTTTGTTTGCTGTTTCCCAATATCCTTGTTAATGGCTTTGATCGATCATAAGAAGTTCAACTTGATTTAGATGTGAGTGTGTACTTATACTTCATGTTCTTGTCTGATTGACGAAAGATTATTTTAAGTTCCATGGTGACAATAAATCTGAGAGTACTCATATCACCCTTGTTGTTAAAGATATCCCCAGAGTAGTGCTTAGTGTACCTGTACAAGCAACACATGTGCATGCACATAGCTAATTAACAAGCAAGGCATAATCCCGACTGGAGTATTAAGTATAGTGGCAATACAGATACCACGGTGGGTGTTGAGTAGTAAGGTTGGTGGGGATGAAATATTTGATTTATGACCTGTAGGTCAAAAGCATAGATTGACCCAATCGAAAGCAGGTGGATCATCATTTAACCTGTGTTGTTCATGTTTTGAAGTCTGTGAACTGAAGTCAGGAATGATGTGGCTGAAATTCTGTAAAATACCCATCTAGTAATATCCTATATTTGCCACAAATCTTAGTCTATTGTCAAACCTGTGCTCTTCAGATCCAGTGTCTTGATTGATGGTGTCATCATACCCCTGAGGACGTGGATCATTGTTCATAGTATCAACCATTGGCTTGTCTGGTCCACACAATTATTTGTAAGCCACCATCATACAGCTAGAATATCTTTGTTTGCTGCATCAAACAACACCTGCACACACTCACTCTCTGTTCCCTACTGACAGCTGTATTAAGCATGTTTTCCCTTTAAAGAGCGTTATGCCACACACTTTAGGGGTAGATTGAGGTTAGACTCTTATTGTTAGTGCATTGGGTTAATAGTTTTGTTCATGTACAGTGTTAGTGATCATCTTTGTGGAATGAGGTGTAGAAGATGTCTCTGTCAATTCATGCGGAATAAATTGTTTTTGTTTGACAATATTTTCACTGTTTTTGTATAGTTGTGGATGTGCAACAAATTGAATGAGGTTGGTCTGTGGGTTCGATACACCTGCACTTGTGGCTTTTACTTGAGTGGTAACATCCTTGATTCAGATCAGCCTACCTATGATGCTTGGTTTGGATAACCCTAAGATCATGGATCATAGTCAGGACAGTCTGAACCATGAATCATCGTCAAGGCAATCCGAGCCAAGGATCATGGTTGAAGCAAATCAAATCAAGGTTCATTGGCAGGATGCTCAAAAACAAAGATCATTGTCAGGGTGCACCGAACCAAGCCTCGACAAGGACATTGTAAGGATGATCTGAGCAAAGGATCATTGTCAGGGTGCACCGAACCAAGCCTCAACAAGGACATTGTAAGGATGATCTGAGCAAAGGATCATTGTCAGGGTGATCCGAATCAAGCATCATTGTAAAGATGATCCGAGCAAAGGATCATTGTCAGGGTGATCCGTACCAATCATCATTGTCAGGGTGATCCCAGCAAAGAATCATTGTCAGGGTTGATCCGAACCAAGCATCATTGTCAGGGTGATCTGAGAAAAGGATCATTGTCAGGGTGATCCGAACCAAGCACCATTGTAAGGATGATCCGAGCAAAGGATCATTGTCAGGGTGATCCGAACCAAGCATCATTGTAAGGATGATCCGAGCAAAGGATCATTGTCAGGGTTGATCCGAACCAAGCATCATTGTCAGGGTGATCCGAAACAAGCATCATTGTCAGGGTGACCCAAACAAAGGATCATTGTCCGGGTGATCTGAACCAAGGATCATTGTCAGGGTGATCTGAACCAAGCATCATTGTCAGGGTGATCCGAGCAAAGAATCAATGTCTGGGTGATCCGAAACAAGCATCACTGTCAGGGTGATCCGAGCAAAGGATCATTGTCCGGGTGATCTGAACCAAGCATCATTGTCAGGGTGATCCGAACCAAGCATCATTGTCAGGGTGACCCGAACCAAGCATCATTGTCAGGGTGCTCCGAAACAAGCATCATTATCAGGGCGATCCGAGCAAAGGATCATTGTCAGGATGATTTGAACCAAGCATCATTGTCAGGGCGATCCGAGCAAAGGATCATTGTCAGGGTGATTTGAACCAAGCATCATTATCAGGGTGAGCCGAGCGAAGCATCATTGTCAGGGTGATCCGAACCAAGCATCATTATCAGGGTGATCCGAACCAAGCATCATTATCAGTGTGAGGCGAGCGAAGCATCATTGTCAGGGTGATCCGAATCAAGCATTATTATCAGGGTGATCCGAACCAAGCATCATTGTAAGGGTCATCCGAAACAAGCATCATTGTCAGGGTGATCCGAGCAAAGAATCGATGTCTGGGTGATCTGAACCAAGCATCATTGTAAGGATGATCCGAGCAAAGGATCATTGTCAGGGTGATCTGAACCAAGCATCATTGTCAGGGTGATCCGAGCAAAGAATCGATGTCTGGGTGATCCGAAACAAGCATCACTGTCAGGGTGATCCGAGCAAAGGATCATTGTCCGGGTGATCTGAACCAAGCATCATTGTCAGGGTGATCCGAACCAAGCATCATTGTCAGGGTGACCCGAACCAAGCATCATTGTCAGGGTGCTCCGAAACAAGCATCATTATCAGGGTGATCCGAGCAAAACATCAATTTCAGGGTGATCCGAACCAAGTATCATTATCAGGGTGAGCCGAGCGAAGCATCATTGTCAGGGTGATCCGAACCAAGCATCATTATCAGGGTGAGCCGAGCGAAGCATCATTGTCAGGGTTATACGAACCAAGCATCATTATCAGGGTGAGCCGAGCGAAGCATCATTGTCATGGTGATCCGAGCAAAGGATCATTGTCAGGGTGATCCGAACCAAGCATCGTTGTCAGAGTGATCCGAAACAAGTATTATTGTCAGGGTGATCCGAACCAAGGATCATTGTCCGGGTGATCCGAGCCAAGCATCATTGTCAGGATGATCCGAACCAAGCATCATTTTCAGGGTGACCCGAGCAAAGGATCATTGTCAGGGTGATCCGAGCAAAGGATGATTGTCCGTGTGATTTGAACCAAGCATCAATATCAGGGTGAGCCGAGCGAAGCATCATTGTCAGGGTGATCCGAAACAAGCATCATTGTCAGGGTGATCCGAGCAAAGGATCATTGTCAGGGTGATCCGAGCAAAGGATGATTGTCAGGTTGATCCGAAACAAGCATCATTGTCAGGGCGATCCGAGCAAAGGATCATTGTCAGGGTGATTTGAACCAAGCATCATTATCAGGGTGATCCGAGCAAAGGATCATTGTCAGGGTGATTTGAACCAAGCATCATTGTCAGGGCGATCCGAGCAAAGGATCATTGTCAGGGTGATTTGAACCAAGCATCATTATCAGGGTGAGCCGAGCGAAGCATCATTGTCAGGGTGATCCGAACCAAGCATCATTATCAGTGTGAGCCGAGCGAAGCATCATTGTCAGGGTGATCCGAACCAAGCATCATTGTCAGGGTGATCCGAGCAAAGGATGATTGTCCGTGTGATTTGAACCAAGCATCATTGTCAGGGTGATCCGAATCAAGCATCATTATCAGTGTGAGCCGAGCGAAGCATCATTGTCAGGGTGATACGAACCAAGTATCATTATCAGGGTGATCCGAACCAAGCATCATTGTAAGAGTCATCCGAAACAAGCATCATTGTCAGGGTGATCCGAGCAAAGAATCGATGTCTGGGTGATCTGAAACAAGCATCATTGTAAGGATGATCCGAGCAAAGGATCATGGTCTGGGTGATCCGAAACAAGCATCACTGTCAGGGTGATCCGAGCAAAGGATCATTGTCTGGGTGATCCGAACCAAGCATCACTGTCAGGGTGATCAGAGCAAAGGATCATTGTCAGGGTGATCTGAACCAAGCATCACTGTCAGGGTGATCCGAGCAAAGGATCATTGTCCGGGTGATCTGAACCAAGCATCATTGTCAGGGTGATCCGAACAAAGCATCATTGTCAGGGTGACCCGAACCAAGCATCATTGTCAGGGTGCTCCGAAACAAGCATCATTGTCAGGGTGATCCGAGCAAAGCATCAATTTCAGGGTGATCCGAACCAAGTATCATTATCAGGGTGAGCCGAGCGAAGCATCATTGTCAGGGTGATCCGAACCAAGCATCATTATCAGGGTGAGCCGAGCGAAGCATCATTGTCAGAGTGATCCGAACCAAGCATCATTATCAGTGTGAGCCGAGCGAAGCATCATTGTCAGGGTGATCCGAACCAAGCATCATTATCAGGGTGAGCCGAGCGAAGCATCGTTGTCAGGGTGATCCGGAACAAGCATCATTGTCAGGGTGATCCGAGCAAAGGATCATTGTCAGGGTGATCCGAGCAAAGGATCATTGTCAGGGTGATCCGAACCAAGCATCATTGTCAGGGTGATCCGAACCAAGCATCATTATCAGTGTGATCCGAACCAAGGATTATTGTCAGGGTGATCCGAGCAAAGGATCATTGTCAGGGTGATCCGAACCAAGCATCATTATCAGTGTGATCCGAACCAAGGATTATTGTCAGGATGATCCGAGCGAAGCATCATTGTCAGGGTGATCCGAAACAAGCATCATTGTCAAGGTTATCCGAGCAAAGGATCATTGTCATGGTGATCCGAGCGAAGCATCATTGTCAGGGTGATCCGAGCAAAGGATCATTGTCAGGGTGATCCGAAACAAGCATCATTGTCAGGGTGATTCGAGCCAAGCATCGCTGTCAGGGTGATCCGGAACAAGCATCATTGTCAGGGTGATCCGAGCAAAGGATCGTTGTCAGGGTGATCCGAGCGAAGCATCATTGTCAGGGTGATCCGAACCAAGCATCATTGTCAGGGTGATCCGAGCAAAGGATCATTGTCAGGGTGATCCGAGCAAAGGATCATTGTCAGGGTGATCCGAACCAAGCATCATTGTCAGGGTGATCCGAACCAAGCATCATTATCAGGGGGATCCGAACCAAGCATTATTGTCACGGTGATCCGAGGAAAGGATCATTGTCAGGATGATCCGAGCGAAGCATCATTGTCAGGGTGATCCGAAACAAGCATCATTATCAGGGTGATCCGAGCAAAGGATCATTGTCAGGGTGATCCGAAACAAGCATCACTGTCAGGGTGATCCGAGCAAAGGATCATTGTCAGGGTGATCCGAGCAAAGGATCATTGTCAGGGTGATCCGAAACAAGCATCACTGTCAGGGTGATCCGAGCAAAGGATCATTGTCCGGGTGATCTGAACCAAGCATCATTGTCAGGGTGATCCGAACAAAGCATCATTGTCAGGATGACCCGAAACAAGCATCATTGTCAGGGTGCTCCGAAACAAGCATCATTGTCAGGGTGATCCGAGCAAAGCATCAATTTCAGGGTGATCCGAACCAAGTATCATTATCAGGGTGAGCCGAGCGAAGCATCATTGTCAGGGTGATCCGAACCAAGCATCATTATCAGGGTGAGCCGAGCGAAGCATCATTGTCAGGGTGATCCGAACCAAGCATCATTATCAGTGTGAGCCGAGCGAAGCATCATTGTCAGGGTGATCCGAACCAAGCATCATTATCAGGGTGAGCCGAGCGAAGCATCGTTGTCAGGGTGATCCGGAACAAGCATCATTGTCAGGGTGATCCGAGCAAAGGATCATTGTCAGGGTGATCCGAGCAAAGGATCATTATCAGTGTGATCCGAACCAAGGATTATTGTCAGGATGATCCGAGCGAAGCATCATTGTCAGGGTGAGCCGAAACAAGCATCATTGTCAAGGTTATCCGAGCAAAGGATCATTGTCATGGTGATCCGAGCGAAGCATCATTGTCAGGGTGATCCGAACCAAGCATCATTTTCAGGGTGCTCTGAACAAAGCATTATTGTAAGGGTGATCCGAACCAAGCATCATTGTCAGGGTGATCCGAGCAAAGGATCATTGTCAGGGTGATCCAAGCAAAGGATCATTGTCAGGGTGATCCGAACCAAGCATAATTGTCAGTGTGATCCGAACCAAGTATCATTATCAGGGTGATCCGAACCAAGCATTATTGTCACGGTGATCCGAGGAAAGGATCATTGTCAGGATGATCCGAGCGAAGCATCATTGACAGGGTGATCCGAACCAAGCATCATTATCAGGGTGATCCGAGCAAAGGATGATTGTCAGGGCGATCCGAAACAAGCATCAATATCAGGGTGATCCGAGCAAAGGATCATTGTCAGGGTGATCCGAGCAAAGGATCATTGTCAGGGTGATCCGAGCAAAGGATGATTGTCAGGTTGATCCGAACCAAGCATCATTGTCAGGGCGATCCGAGCAAAGGATCATTGTCAGGGTGATTTGAACCAAGCATCATTATCAGGGTGATCCGAGCGAAGCATCATTGTCAGGGTGATCCGAACCAAGCATCATTGTCAGGGCGCTCCGAACCAAGCATCATTATCAGGGTGAGCCGAGCGAAGCATCATTGTCAGGTCGATCCGAACCAAGCATCATTATCAGTGTGAGCCGAGCGAAGCATCATTGTCAGGTTGATCCGAACCAAGCATCATTATCAATGTGAGCCGAGGGAAGCATCATTGTCAGGGTGATCCGAACCAAGCATCATTATCAGTGTGAGCCGAGCGAAGCATCATTGTCAGGGTGATCCGAGCAAAGGATCATTGTCAGGGTGATCCGAACCAAGCATCATTGTCAGGGTGATTCGAGCCAAGCATCGTTGTCAGGGTGATCCGAGCAAAGGATCATTGTCAGGGTGATCCGAAACACGCATCATTGTCAGGGTGATTCGACCCAAGCATCGTTGTCACGGTGATCCGAGCAAAGGATCATTGTCAGGGTGATCCGAAACACGCATCATTGTCAGGGTGATCCGAGCAAAGGATCATTGTCAGGGTGATCCGAACCAAGGATCATTGTCAGGGTGATCCGAACCAAGGATCATTGTCAGGGTGATCTGAACCAAGCATCATTGTAAGGGTGATCCGAGCAAAGTATCGTTGTCTGGGTGATCCGAACCAAGCATCACTGTCAGGGTGATCCGAGCAAAGGATCATTGTCAGGGTGATTTGAACCAAGCATCATTGTCACGGTGATCTGAACCAAGCATCATTATCAGGGTGATCCGAAACAAGCATCATTGTCAGGGTGATCCGAGCAAAGGATCATTGTCAGGGTGATCCGAGCGAAGCATCATTGTCAGGCTGATCCGAACCAAGCATCATTGTCAGGGTGATTCGAGCCAAGCATCGTTGTCAGGGTGATCCGAGCAAAGGATCATTGTCAGGGTGATCCGAAACACGCATCCTTGTCAGGGTGATTCGAGCCAAGCATCGTTGTCAGGGTGATCCGAAACAAGCATCATTGTCAGGGTGATCCGAAACAAGCATCATTGTCAGGGTGATCCGAGCAAAGGATCATTGTCAGGGTGATCCGAACCAACGATCAGTGGATCCGGGCAATTCTTGAAGACGTGGGAACCTGACACGCAGGGTGATTGTGAGCTAAGGCCCGGATAACACGGATCGTTGATCATGCCACGAGGATAAATCAAAATATTCACCGCCTCACAGATATCGATTTGTGTAACATGAGGTTTCGTCACAAGGATGTAGAAGCACCACGTTACAGACTGATAACTGTATCTATTTTCGGGAAGTCAAGAACAGAACTTGACGGGGGTGAGGGAAACTGCGAAAACAGGGAAACGAGTTATGTGCCTGCATAAAAACAGCATATCACCAAAATATATACCCGAAGATAAGAAATACATGCACTGGGACAGCTGTTTTTCATATTTCCAAGAAATGGGCTGCTGAATATAAGCGAAGCAGAAGTACCACAGACGATAACCCTGGGTCTGGTCTAAAGAAACCCCATCTGAAACTCAAGTGGAGGCTACCAACGACAAGGTTATGGCTGACCGACATGTTACAATTCAGCCTATCGCTGACACTGTTGGTATCAGATATGGGTCAGGAAAGTCCATCTTCACTGATTCATTCCACATGAGCAAGGCCCAGAATCTTGACACCAAATCAGAAACTGACCCGACAGAACATGTGAATGGCACCTTTTGACCCGTTTTCAGCAGAATCCTGATAACTTGTAACCCAGTATGAGACCTGGGTCCGTCACTTTGACCCAGAGTCAAAACGTCAGAGCAAACAGTGGAACATGTTGCCCCACCCTCAACCCAGAAGCACAAAGAGATGGCGTCCTTTTTTAGGACAGGTGAGATGAGGTGCAATTGGGTTCTGCTTGAACTAGTCCGGACTGATGTCGATTTATTGTGCCAGCTCACTGAGATACAATGCCGCAGTTTAACATGAATACCCCACTCAGACACAGTATACTGACTCCGAGCCGAACAGGCCTTGTTTTAGCCTCTTAATGGCGAGCGTAACAACAAGTACCATCTTTTAATGTCTTTTGGTATGACGCGGCCGGAGATCGAACCCCGGACCTATCTCTCTCCGGGAGGACGCTCTACCACGGAGGCGGCATTTATCGGACAGTAAAGAGATAGTCAAGTATGATCGGCAATCTGCAACGAGGTCAGAATATCAACACCCAATAATATGCCACAGAGCTACGTCTGTTGAGAGAAGCAACTAAGGAAACAGGATGAGGAAGGTTTGTCACAATATCAGTGGCAGCAGGTGCAGATTGTTGTTAGAGTTACTTCCCCTGGCCACTTCCTCTCCTGACCAAGTACACTCTGTGGTCTCTTCCCTAAATACATCTGGCACCTGATCTATTACCTGTGATGAGGATGCGATTGCCGACGTCGAGGTCTTTTGATTGTCTTTTGAAGACTTCAGGGGCAACAAAACTGGAACATCGTTGGACCAAGTGCATTGAAGTCAAAGAAGATTATATTGAAAAGATAATGAGTGATTTTTTTATTCTGAACGATTTTCTAACTGAAGCCAGGCGCCTGTCGATTTACCCTCGGATCAAAAACTAGTTTGCCTGTCCGAGACTCGATTGTCAGAGACCACGAAAGTATAGCTTGGCTATTGCTGTCGTGTCTTGAAAACACATTTATTTATTCCCTCACTCACTCACCTTCTCCCTCCCTCACTGAAATCAGAAATTCAAACATAGACCCCTCTCTGCTGGGACTACAGTAAAGTGCGTTTGTACGATGAGCTAGTTTACTCACTATTATTGCGTTATTTGTCATATTTACCTTGACCCAGGTTGATACCGTGTTTTACCAACTTGTCACTGAGCAACGAGATGACGTCCGCTGCCATTTCTCACCTGTACCTAATGCCCATCCCTACACCAGCGCCAGGCGGACTCCATGACACAAGCATCAAAGGCCATACGGTAAACGGGTAATTAAGAAAGTGTTTTAACAAATAGCAGATTACCGTGGTTAAATGTTATTGATTGGCGCGTGGATTGGGAGCACTGAGCTTGAGATTCAACTTGTACAGTGTATCGAACCCCGGTTCGCCAAGGGCCCCGTTCCACAACACGATCCTAGTGCTATGGCTGTGGCAAGTCTATGCTGTGATATAAGGGTAAGGATCATAGAACTACGGTCGCTTTGTGGAACGGAGCCCTGGTTATTTGTTGGTTTGTCAGCACAATACCGTGCTCAAGGGTTTCACCAGTTAGGCAACCGCCTAGGACCTGCATCATTTCGGGATTTCCTTCCACATCAAGTTTGCACTCAGTGATATGACTGGAATACTATTCAAAGCTACGTTAAACCCAACCCGCCCAAAACCAACGTACAAACCAATCAACTTTCTTTGTGTCTTTTTAGCGTTAAATGGTGATATAAAAGTATGGGGGTAACTTACAAAAGTTCAGGGTCTATCGTTGTAAACAGATATACTTTCATTGTCAGCTTCCCTTTCTTGTAAGACAGAAATACTATTTATTACGCGCGCACACACACACACGAACGCAGTGATTTTCTTCGTCTGCAATAAAATGAGTCTTGTTTGGTAGTGAAGCAGGCGGGATGAAAATCTAAACATTAACTTGTTAGGCCTATGAATGAATGCGTATGAACATAGTTACTTGTACATTTGAGAATATGTCAACTTTAAATCGTTTATTAGCCTTCCAGTCACCTGGGTGTAACCACAACGTGGGACAAATACAATGAAGTGTCGTCCGCCATACACGGCAGTTATCATCACAAAAACATCATCACTATCGATCTGTGTCTCCTCGCGTCAAGTGCCCCCACCAACTCCCCGAGGGCAGAGAACTTTGCGACTTGAACCCGCTTTGATCCCTGTGTTGCTGTGAGATCCATCACCTAGTCACAAATATATTTAATAATAAGAGACATTTACTTTAACGGCAAAATGTTAAAGCAGTTTTATTGCAAAGCTTTAATGTGTTTGACAATGGTGTGTCTGGCATTGTGATTCCTGCAGCTAACGCTATGGGAACTGCAAACTGATCAATGACGTAAATCATGTGCGATGGGAGCGAACCAACCACGTTGGAGGATGTTCCGGAGGCCGGGTTGCGGTGCACTGATGCTATCTTGCTGGTCGGGCTGAACCCATGATAGTGGAAACGTAAATGGTTGAGAAAATTGCCAGCGTTCATTACAGCCATTACCTGTAATTAAGTTGACAGGTGAGATTGTCACGCTGTAGCCTCACCTGAGAAAACAAAACGCGGTTAGTTACTGTCATTGTACAGGGAGGCGGTACATGGTGGGACAGGTAAGGTAGATTTTCTTAAATTTGTGTTTAATAATGTGACATTTTTTACGTGTTTTGAAATACTCAAAATTTTAATATTTCTGAATCATTCATTCAAAGGCGTGTTGGGTTGCAGTGAAATTTACGTATATGTTTAACACTTTGGGTAAATAATCACTGGATCACCGACAGAATAAAATTCAGGACGATTCGAGACCACAGCGTGTACTGACAAACCACTTGTGGCTCATACCATTAGACCATCAATAGCATCATTGTAAAATCTTCTGTAGCACCAGCTGCGAAGAATTGTAATAAGACCATTGTATAATGTTATATTTCGGAAGATTTGTAAAAACATAATTGTAAAATGTTATTCTCTTGGAAGAAGTGAAAGAACCTCATTGTAAAATGTTATAATCTGGGGAGGATTGTAGGAACATAATTGTAAAATGTTATGCTCTGGAAAGAATTGTAAGAACATAATTGTAAAATGTTACAATCTGGGGAGGATTGTAGGAACATAAATGTAAAATGTTATACTCTGGAAAGAATTGTAAGAACATAATTGTAAAATGTTATAATCTGGGGAGGATTGTAGGAACATAATTGTAAAATGTTATGCTCTGGAAAGAATTGTAAGAACATAATTGTAAAATGTTACAATCTGGGAAGAATTGTAAGAATACAATTGTAAAATGTTACAATCTGGGAAGAATTGTAAGAACCTCATTGTAAGATCATAAATCTGGGGAGGATTGTAGGCACATAATTGTAAAATGTTACAATCTGGGAAGAATTGTAAGAATACAATTGTAAAATGTTACAATCTGGGAAGAATTGTAAGAACCTCATTGTAAGATGTTACACTCAGGAAAGAATTGTAAGAACCTCATTGTAATATGTGATAATCTGGGAAGAATTGTAAGAACACAATTGTAAAATTTTATACTCTGGAAAGAATTGTAATAACATAATTGTAAAATGTCATAATCTGAGAAGAATTGTAAAAAGACCATTGTTAAATATTCTGCCATGAAATGTAATATCGGTTGAATGAGAAAACCAGGGTCTTTATTGTAGAACAAACGACAGCAAAGTTTAAGAGCTCTCATATGAAGAAGCTCAAGAGATCGATGTCGGATAAAAAAATGCCTAATTTTGGAGACATACCCTCCTCACGCCTTCAACTTTATTGTGAAAATGTTGACATCCAAAAGATTTTCAGAAAGGAAAACACAGAAATAATAGTACAAGTGCATGGGCGTTATCAAACATTTTTCAACAGGCGTGTTGGCGTAACACAACACATTATTTAAGGAAAGTTTGTTTTTAATATCGGTTTACTTGTGAAAAATATGTTTTAAATGTAAACATATACAAGACATGTTTACTGACGGTATACGGGTTCTTGTGGGGTTAGTAGTTCTGCTCTCTGATTGGTCAATCTCACTTTGCGGCATTATAATTACACGTATGCCTAGTTTGGGAATGTGTGGAAATGTTGTAGAAATGCACATTTGTGTCCCTACCCGTCCATGATCCTGGCAGGTGTGTTATGTCATATATGCCACGGGGTAGCGACACAAAACACAAATAAAGACATTGACATGTGTGCATATACCATTTGGAATAATTTGGAAAGTTTACAAATTCAAACCTTATTTCAAACGTTAGAAATATAACATTTCCCTTACATTTACAGGTACAGAAATTAATAGGAAATTGTTCAAATTCAAATGTTGCATATATGAGATAAACTTGGCACCTATACCTTGGAAATACCTAGAGAAATACAAGCCGAATCAATGAGCGGTGTGTCATGTTCTTTCCGTTCATGGCCATATACAGGCATAAGTGTTTAATCAAACAACAGATGCAACAGATGCACGTCGAAGATTTTGTGTGGATAATTTTCAAAAGAGTATATTTCTTTCTTGAGTGTGTTTGGTACAGGGGAAGGTTCAGCGTGGTAAGTGAGTGAGTGAGTGAGTGAGTATGGATTTACGCCACTTTTAGCAATATTCCAGCAATATCACGGCGGGGGACACCAGAAATGGGCTTCACACATTGTACCCATGTCGGGAATCGAACCCGGGTCTTCGGCGTAACGAGCGAACGATTTAACCACTAGGATACCCGACCGCCCCCAAACCTTATGAAATACACGGGAATCCCTGCAGGGTATGCAGGGTATGCAGGGTATGTGAACTACAGTGCAACTCGTTAAGTTGGACAAAGGATGCTCAGTACATTGTCCAGGGATATTTAATGGCAGCTGCAGGTGGCCATGGGGAAGATAACGCCTTGTTTGTTTATAACATTATCTCAGTGGATTATCTGAGGAAGTAATATTACGACAGAAACGTCGTGCGTCAAATGTATTCACGAACATGAACTCAAATATTTGCCTAGAGAACATTTTGTGAACTTTTTGATTGTTCAGTGAAAGTTGCAATAACATTTGTCGGCTCATTTTGCGATATTCAGAAGAGTTACAGTGCAACGGTAGAGTCTACTCGGTACATGTATGTAGTGGACGTTTGTGCTTCGCTGAATGAGGTCAACACGGCTATATGTTAGAGTGTGATCTAAAATACCTGTGTGATCTACACTTTGCACATCAGTCCTTGCCCTTAGCACCAACGGAAGAAAGCAACCCCTTTTTGGATTTCTCTCTCCTTATCATAAACATCAACTAGAAGAGTTTGGGAACTACAGGAACCAAACTGTTTTCTACCTTAAAGGACAAGACGCACTATGTTATTCACTTTAGCACTCTGCAGCTCTATTTACCTTCAGGTTTGAAACTTGGCAATATTCACACAGTCTTGAAATTTTCTCAATCTTGATGGATGAAACCCTATATAGATTTCAACACTAAAAAACGGAAAGAAGTTACATATGATTTTTCAAAAGATTTGTTTAAATTACTTTCCACCGCTGTCTATGGCAAACAGCTCCGAAATGACAGAAACTGTCAACAAGTGGAATTGATCACAACTGAAGAAAGACTGTGACTTTTTACATCAAAACCAAATTTAAAAAATGTTAAGATATTTTCGGACAATTTGGTGGTCGTTAACATGGAGAAAGTGTCAATGACTCTCAATCAACCCGTTTCCTTAGGCTTCTCCATTTTGGAACACGCAAAGACAATTTTGTATGAATTTCATTATAACGTTATGATGAAACACTATGGTAGTGATAATCTTAGAGTCCTGATGACCGATACTGACTCATATTTATTCGAATAAGATGGTGTACGAATCTTGGAGAAGATGTGAACCTGTCTTAAAAACGAATCCAGAACTATTTGACACGTCCAACTATCCTCGAAACCATCCAGTTGATCCCATGGACAGGCACAAAGCCATCGGTGTGATGAAAGATGAGGTAGGCGGTAAAATCGTTAGATAGTTTGTAGGGCTTCGCGCAAAAAAATATATACACATGCACAAAAGTTAAGCGCCACACACCATATTTGTGAGCTGTTACTTTTGGCACTTAATGATGACTATTATAACGAGATGAACGATTGTTAGAAGCCGAAAATGTAAACCTCATGTGATGCAATTTTTAAGTTGTCCCAAAGCAAGTTTATCTTGTGTTCCAAAAGAATATGAGCAGAAGGGAATTTTACCAAAGACCAGAAATTGAAGGATTAGAATATATTGAAAACCTTTTTTTGTCATGTAACTGTCATGATATCAGCAGACCATATCAGGTGTCACATTTTGCAAGACAGAAACGTCAGTAATGTGTGTATGATCCACGGACATTGACCACAGCTTCAACCCTACGCCTCATACTCATTACAAGTCGTTGAATGCTTCTCTGAAGTAAACGGATCCATTCTTCGTGAAGTGCGGCTTCAAGCCAGCAGGATTTTGAACTGGGGGATCATCTCTGTCCCAGAGATGCTCAGTGAGATTAAGATTTGGACTACAGGCGGCCAAGGAAGTGTGTCAATAGCTTCTTGACGGAAATAAGCCAAAACTGCCCGAGATCTGTGTGGTCTAGCATTGTCGTCCATGTAAACAGGTCTTGTCTGAAGAGTATGGTTGTCAAAATGACTACCACTGGACGAAGAACGGCATCTTGGTTTTGTTTGCCATTCAGGTTTCCACGAATTGTCACCAGCGGAAGTTTGCAGCCGAAGGAAACACAACCCAATATCATGACAGACCCCCGGTCACATGCTAAGGTCCTCTGGATGTTCCTTGGTGCAAAACGAGTGTTACGTTGCCTCCAAACACGTATTCGACCATCAACAGTTCGTAGCAGCATTCGACACTCGTCAGACCAATGCATTCTTCTCCAGTTGGCCAAGTTCCATCGACTACGGGCACGATACCATATCAGACGACTCAGCATGTGCCTCTCAGCCATGGTGATATATTTGTGGGTTTTTTTGCTGTGTGGCTATTTGTATTCTGTTGCTGCTATATGCACTATTCTATCTTTCTTCTTTGTTGTTGTTGTTTTCCATTCTCCTATTTTGCAAAGCATAGGACTCGCTATTTCCTCTAGAGCTCCAATCCGTTCTATTTCTTTCTACTAGGAAATAGCCGTATATTGGGATTTCTACATCTGTAGTAGATTCTCCATTTTCTCCAACTGTCAATAGGAATAGCAATGTTCTTCTGTTTCCTCTAAAGATTGTAGTGGTATATTTTCTACAAATGTACTCTCCTGCGGGCATGTCTAGAGCTTTTTGTTGTTTTGTTGGTATGTGGAGCATGTACTAGAAGTAGTTTGTATGTGGCATCGATTTCTATTTTCTCGTATTCTTTTTCTAGAGCTTCTTCTTGCAAAGATGCTTGCTTTTGCGGGTCTGGTGCTTCTTCTACAGAAATAGGATTCCAGAGAATTGTACCCCTACTAGACTAGAATAGAATTGCAGGTTGTACGCATATATACAATACTACTTGTTCGGTATCGTCTTTCCCTGGGTTGTTTTCTGCTCTGTTTCCTTCTACAAGAAACATATCTCTAGGGCTCCAGCAAATTTCTCTTTC